CGTGGCCACCTGCTCCTCCAAGAATGGGGGCCACTGCACTCGAGTCGCCTCGGAAGGCGCCGAATCAAAGCATTGCGGCGCCAGAAGCGCAGAGAGAGACTCGTGGCCGCGGCACAGACGAAAGCAAGCGACAAAGAGGGGAGATGAAGGCCTCGAGGTTCGGAGTTCATTGGTTTCTGCCGATGGCGGGCTTCGAAAATCTATTGACTTTCGCTGTGAGAAGGACGAGAAGGAGGTCTGGAAAGATAGAGGCCAGCCCACGTGTCTGGAAATGCTGTCCCCGGAGAGCGACTCTTTGGTTCGCGAGAGAGCGAAGGAGGTTTGTCAAGATGGAGGCCCCGAGGTTCAGAGGCCACCGACTGGTGCCGAGGCCGAACTTCGAAAGTCCATGCTCCTTAACGATGACCCAGAGATCGCAACGCTTCTGGGATTCTTCAGTTATACATCGGCCCACAAAGGAATCACTAAAGGCGTTTTGCAAGCACTGCGCACGGAAAGGGGATGCCCACTTGGTATGTTGCTGAAGTGTTTGATTGTTTGCTTCACGCAGGGGTTGTGCAACGGACGAACTTTGGACGACATCTATGACATTAGGTGGAAAGCTATTGGTCATTTAGTTTCCTGTTGGTTACCAGCGTCACAGTTCGCACTTTGCCAGAGGTGGAGTTCGCCCATTTGGGATTGGAGAAGCATTGGAGTTTTTGCCAGCATGGGCGACACGTACACAACGGCTACCCCGTGCCAGTTTCGTTTTTTCCAGAATGGACAGCACAAGGATTCAATTAAGCGCGTTTTTCGCGGAGGAGAATGATTATTGAATTTCCCTCGAAGGGGGAGCTGCGCGCACTAGCGAGGGCATCTCGGGGTGCAGGCCTTCTTGTCCAGCGTTTCCTCTCTCGTGTCTTGGTCTCTCGTCTTCGGCCCTCTTCTCCGCAGGATACAGAGAGGAATTTGGTTCGCGAGTTTAAGGGGGGTTCAGGGAATCCTCCTTCTTGCGGAGGCCCGCTCGCACGGCCACTGGCAACGCCGTGCCAGCGGTGCCGCACCCCTTTGTTTCATCGGAGAGCTACTGACTGGTGATACTGGGCCCCTTGCGAACGGGCCGCACACTAGCCTGCGGTGGAGGCGGGGGGGAGGGATTGGGGGGAAGGCCGCGTGACAGCCCCTGCGCAGGCCCTGGCCGGGCTTCGATACGATGTCGAAGGGCTGTCGGGTACTTGTTGCAGACTACTTACGCTTGGGATTCTGCTGGTCGCACGCGCAGCTCCTTTGTAGGTGTTGACGTTGACCCCCTAATGCGGATGACCTGACCTCCTCCTCCTCCTCCACCTCCTCCTCCTCCGCCTCCTCCTCCTCCTCCTCCCCCTCCTCCTCCTCCTTTTAGAAACACATGTTTCGGTGGGTACGTTTTTGGGATCCCTCGATTTCCTCGCGTGCTGCACGTCCGGAGTGTGTCGAGCATGTGCGTGTGGTCTCTTTTGGGAGCCTCTCGGAGACTTCTTGTGCCATCTTGGGAAACCTTGGGGCTGATGTTTGGTTTGTTGTGGGCCTGTTTGGCCGTTTTCGGCCGTTGTCGGGCGTTCTTGGGCCGACTGGCACCTTCGCCTCTGGGGCTGCCTTGGGATGCCCGACGTCTGAAAATTTAGAGGCCCTTTTGGAGGTCGTCTTAGAGCCCTCTAGGCCGTCTTGGGGACCCCTTTGGCCGTCTTGGGGGCCCCTTGGGCACTGTTGGGGTTAACTTTGGCCGTCTTGGAGCCATCCTGAGCAATTTCGGTACCTTCCAGAGCCGTCTCGAGGCCGTCTTCGATTTTATCAAGACACCCAGGAAGCCTAACAGAGTGATGCTCCTTACGCTTTGCCCCAGAATTTTACCATCACCACCGTTGGTCCGTGGATGGGGCGTGACTCCGGCGGGAGGGCCAGGGGGGTATCGCAATGATGTGCGATCCACGTCCAGTTGTGACGTGTTGCCTGAGGCAGGTCGCGCAGCGGAGCGGAAGCCTTACTGCAGCGTATCCCATGTATCTAACGATTGCATAATTAGTTCAAGATGGCCCCACCATGGTTCAAGATGGTCTCCAGACCGGCCAAGACGGCCCTGAGACGATCCAAGATTGCCCAAAGAGGGTTCAAAAACCCCCCAAGACGGCCCAGGAGGGCCTCCAGAAGCCAACAGCATGGATCCCCCTTTGATGTTGAAAGATGTTAGCGTTCTCTGTTTTTTTTTTCAGCTCTAGGAGGCCCACGACGGCCCACGCAGCCTCCAAGAAACTTCCGAAGAGCCCAGACGGCGCAAGAGCCCTTAAAGAGGCCACCAAGAGGCGGACCAGGTGCGGACCAAAATGGACCCCCCTCCCACTCTGGGGCCCAAAACGTACCAGACCGTATGGACAATCAATCATTTTCGCATCTTCGGCCTCCTGGATTCCAAGGGGGCCTCAAGACGGCCCAAGGTGGCCTCAAGACGACCCCCAAACAAAAAAACCCAAACGGCCCGAGATGGCTGGCTTCAGCTGGCCTCCAGGGTCCCCCCCAGAGCACGTCCAAAGGGCCACAATAATGAATGTCTCATAAGGCCATGAGCGTTTGATGCATTTATCGTGTTTGCCTTCTTCGACCCTCGGTGGCCCATGACGGCCTCGGCAGCCTCCAAGATGGCCCCAAGACGGCCCCAGAGGTTCCCAAAAAGGCCCGCGTAATTGTATACGAATGGCGCGTTGTTGCAGCGCCCTGGGGTGGACAAAACGGCACGGCAGAACAGCGAGGCAGACGAGCAGGGCAACCCACCCAACGCCAAATCTTTACGTGCTCCGGACGTGCACCCCGCGAAGCGAGAGGAATTCACGCAGTAAACAGATCCAATACCTGGGCACACGGGATCTGTTGCATTACGGCTTTTGCAGACCTGCCTCCGGCAACGCTTTCCTTCGGGACGTGGGTCTGGCGCCCACGCCCTAGACCCGCGGATCCGCAATCCTTGGTAGCGTGTGCCCGGCAACCAGACCAGACGGGTCGGCCACACCGGCCACTCCTGACGAAAACCTTCGCGCAGCGAGTGCCCTCCCAAGAGGTCACGTGGGAACCCCACCTCCCCCCTCAGAAATCGTGGGGTGGTTGGGTAGGGTTCGCATGTGGCCTCCTGCCTCCCTCGTTCCCCCCGGCCCTGCGGCCGCCCTCCGCCCCCTTCTCCTCTCTTGCCGCCGGACAGTTCTGGTTCGCCCGCTCCCGGCCAGCTCGAGCGCGCGTGCGGATCACCCCTGCCCTGCTGCGACGGAGGAAATGCACACACACAAGCACACACACACACGCACACACACACACACACGCACACGCACACACACACACACACGCACACACACACACACACACACACACGCTCACACACACATACACACACACACACGCACACACACACACACACACGCGCACACACACGCACACGCACACACACACGCACACGCACACTTATTGGCTGTCGCGGCCTCGTGCGCAGCGACGAGGCGGAGAGAGCAGGTCGAAGCGAACTAGAAGCGCGATCCGCATACACATGTTGTCCGTGGCCTGGAGTGGCGTCGGCTGCGCTCGCGTATTCGAATAGATTGTAGTCCGACTCGCCTCCCGCGTGATCTGCGTAGTAGGTGCTTATCATCTGCGCTCGAGGATTGGGAGGTTTGGGGTTGCCTGACTGACGATCTCTGCATACCTTGATGCTGCGTGCATCTGTCCCCCAGCTTCGTTGACACCCTCTGCGCGATGATGCTAAGACAGCTGTAAGATCAAGTTGCGCTGTGGCGCTCTTCCGCCACCCTGCTCGGGCGGGCGCGGGGGGTGGCAGGGCCCTGGGGGGTGGATAGGGGGAGGGGCTGTGCGATGTTGCAAAGGCAGCTGTCAGGTTATGCGCGCTCGGATCCGTTTCTGTAGAGTGCTGCTCGTGCGCCAGCCCTGTCGGTTCAATTTCGGCAATGTGTCAGGCTTGCCGTGCGTTTTTGTTAAAGCATACATTAAACATCCGCAGCGAAAGTAAAGTGCCCTCACATGCTTCTCTGGCGCGTAACGGCCGCTACCCCGACCCCCACGGGTAACCGTAACGTTCATACGTAGTCAACAGGGGAAGAACCACCCCGACCCGACAATGGGCGTTTACTAACGGCCCTGGGCGTTTACCAAACAGCTTTGTCCTGTTTGATTCTTTCTTTCAGTGCGTTTACTGAACGGCCTCGCGTGTCGGGGTGGTTATTATCGGGGTGGATTTTCTGCCCTCTGCGTAGGGGGGTGGGCTTGGACCCCCACCTCCTTCATGCTGGTGACCGCGCGCGTGCTTGGGCGATCGCAGCGCTCCCCTACCCCGAAACGTGCCCCATCCCGCCCACGCGCTGCAACTTGCCCGGCCCCCTCCCCTGGGCAACAAAACCGTCCCCAGAAGCAGCAGAAGAAGGCAGTCTCCGATGCTCGGCATCCTTTTGCATGCTCTCCACCTGCCCTGTGCGAGGGGCTACCCTGGCACCCTCGCGCGTGCTAGACGCCTTGCGTCCTCGCTCGGCACCCCCGGATCCTCGAGGCGCGCTGCGTTCTATCTGACGCGCCCAGGGGTGAGGCAGAGGGGGCCAGCCTTCTCGGAAAGCGGTGGGGCTTCTGAGAAGCCCTCCTGCCTTCCATACATATAGGAGAGGCCTCTGAGTTCTCCCCGAAGCCGCAGTCAGGAGGCGCGAAGGAGTCTGGTAAGCCCTGCCGCTTTCTGAGAAGGGCGTCCCCCGGGAGCGAAGTAAGTTCGCACGCGCATATGAATCCACATTGGTTTCGAAAGTTTGCATTGCGCGAACGTTCGTGTCACGAGGCCCGTCTCGCAGACTTCTGGGCCTTACTCATGTTCTTGGTTTGGGCACGTACGTCCTCTGAGGCCTCAGCGACAGAGTTTTGGCCGTTCGATCTGATCGATATTGTGTTCTGGTGCGGCGCGATCGGTGCCGGCGGCGCGGTGTGCCGGCCTGGCCGCGGCGCAGGCGGCGGGCGCGCCCATGAGCAAGCCTCTGGTGTTGGACCCGCTGGACAAGAAGGCTCCGCGGGCCGAAAGTCACGAGCGAACGTATCCGCTCATCGAGCACACAAGAACCCCTAACCCGAATAACACGATGAAGACGCGGCCTCACTGAGGCCCCCGTCTTCGCATTAGGGAATAATTCTGGGCGGTTTGGTCTGATCTATCTGCAGAGAAGACCCCTATCCCTAATGTTTTCTGGCCTTTCTTAGCATGGGTCCCCTCCCAAAGGGTTAGGGGTCCTTTTCTGGCTGATCCTCCGTATCCGCGCTCTCGCGGTCTGGACTCCGGGGCGCCATCCCGTGGATACGCGGTCGCGCGGATATGTTTTGCGCGGGGCATCCGCGAAAAAAGGCCCCGTATCTGCGGAGTCGAGGCCCAGGGGCCTGGCTTGCGAGGCCGCGGATGCGGGTATATTTTTCGCAAGAAAGCCCAGCCCCCCCCAGATTCACCGGTAACCTTTGGGATGGTGCAATTTACATTCGATTCTGCCTCGTCCTTGTTTTCTATTTACGAACTCGGACCATCCCTGCCAGGCCGTTATCACCCCCTCCTCATCCCGAACAAATAATAACGTGCCCGCGCAATCGCTCACCTAAAATCATTAGTAATCAAGAACCCCTTGCAAAAGCGGGATGCAGTCGACACGCGCGCGTCGTCGTGCGCGCGCGCAGGCCAGATGTCCTCCAAAGCCATTGGTGTCATACGGATTTCAAGAGTGAGTTTCTCGAAACATTTTATCCAATATTCGTGTCGCGACCTGTTGTTTCTACAAATGTTCGCGCGCTGTTGCAACTTGTGAAGAAAAACGTGTGTTTTCAGCATTGTCATGAAATTCGACCAATCGGGTCTCGCGCGCATGCCGGAGTCATTCGAACGCCCTCGCGCGCGTGCTGGGGGGGGCTGCTGGTCCCTGTCACATGGTGCCATGCGGGCCACTCGTGCGCGTCGACCGCGCGCGCGTGTCCAAATTTTCATCACCGACACCTGCACACCATCATCTTCGTCGGTGTGATTAGCATCGGCTCCGTCATTGGCCTTGCCGTCGTCATCGTCATCGTCGTCACCAGCATCTCTACTATCATCATCGTGTCTGCTTTTGTCTACGTGGCCATGTTACCGCTCCCGCCCAAAGCACCGACTCGCACCGAAGTGACCGCGCGTCAGCGCGGCCTGCGAGACGCGTTGGGAAGCTCCCAGCGGTCAGCGCAACCGCGGCCGCGTCGGTCGCGCCAGACTCGCTGGACGCTCTGCGCGCGAGCCTGCTCGCGGTAGCGCGGGCGCAGCGATGCGCCAGCCAGCGCCAAGCAAGCATCGCACTCGCCGCCGCATGGGTTTTGCAAACCAAGTTGCGGGAGGGTGGGTGGGTGGGGTGAACGCGCGAGCAGTGGGTTGACATTCTCAAGTTTGGCAGGTTGAAAATTTCTTTCGTGAGAAATTTTAGGATCCACCCGCTCCCTCGGACTTACCACGTGGTGTATCCGTATTGTTGACCGTCCAGCCGAACAGGTAATTCATACCATCCCGGGCAGTCCTGAAATCGCCCCCCCCCCCCCTCCCCCCGCCAGGAAAAATAACGCATTCGCTCACACGTCTCCATCTTCAAAGATCTGATCTCGATAATCCCCTGCAACTGACTGGACGAAGTGCGCATGCGCACGTCGTCGCGCGCGCATCCCGGAAAAGGGTATCGTAAGGAGTTCGAAATCGAGTGTCCCAGAAACATACGAAAATGCTTCGCAACATGAGTTTTCACAAAAGCTTGCATTCGCGATGTTGCGAATCACAAAACCATCGGTCTTCCAACATGTTCATCCAATGCGACCAACCGTGCCCCGCGTGCGCGCATCCACAAATCATTCGAACGCCCTCGCGCGCGTGTTGGGGGGCACGCCCCCCGTCAAAAGCCATCATCCTCCTCGCCGTGGTCAGCATCGGCGTTGTCATTGGCCTTGTCGTCGTCATCGTCATCGGTAGCGCGGGCGCAGCGACGCGCCAGCCAGCGCCAAGCAAACATCGCACTCGCCGCCGCATGGGTTTTGCAAACCAAGTTCCGGGAGGGTGGGTCGGTGGGAAGATTGCGCGAGCAGTCGAGCTTACAATTCACAAGCGACAGCAATAATTGCACCACACCCGTTGCACCGCAAACGATACACAACATCGGTTGCACAACCTGGATCGCACAACCTAGATCGCACAACCTAGATTGCACAGCATGGGTTGCATCACATAGTTTGCAGCATGTGTATATTTATATACGCTGCTAAACATAACTTGCACTGCATAGATGGCACCGCGTACTGCGCGACATAGACTGTTCCACAGCGATTGCGTTTTACACTTGTAAAATAGCACACCGTCGGGGCCCACGCTGGCCAACGTGCATTTTACTATTCTTCTACATTCCCCCTTCCCCCTTTTTCGTTTTACTGGGCATCCTCCCTCTCCTCCTCCTCCTGCTCCTCCTCCTCCTCCTCATCCTCCTCCTCCTCCAGGGGGCCTCCTCGCCACGGCTTGGTTTTGGTTTCGTAGCCCTGGCGAGGGCGGCACCCCGCCGCCCGGGGAGGTCCAGGGCGCCGCGGTATCGGTATCCTTTTGTCCTTGCATGTCCACGTCCATCCCGGGGCCGTGCTAGGGCATGGAGAGGGCGTCAGGAGGGGAAGAATGACTTCGGACGCAACTCCTGGGAGGTAAAATTCCGATTTTGCCCTGGTCCGACATCCGCTTTAATCTGGTTTAATCCCGCTTAATCCGGCTTAATCCCGTTTAATATGGCCGAATCCCGCTTAATCCACTGTCTTATTTGGCGTAACCGCCCCACAATAAGGCTTAATTCGAATGAACCTTTCCGACGAAAACCTCCCAGTAGTTGTTTCCGAAATTGACCCACAACATCTTGCTTGTCATTCGCCACCCATCTCGCCCCGTGGCTTCCGTCCGCGCACCTCCCAAGCGGTGCACCGATGACCACACCGTGTGGTGAGCCAGTGGCGATTCGGAGTGACCGCGCTGTTTTGGGACATGGGTCGTTCTCCGAGGATGTCTCTTGGGTCCTCCACAGTCTTCAGACCATGCGGTGACGGATCGTGCGGTAAGGTCGCTGGATAACCCGAGGTCACCGCACGGTCCGTCAGAATGCCGATGTCGACCCCAATTTTCAATCAGCCGGAAGGCCGCGCTGACCAAGGAATCGGCGTCCCAGGACGCCTCCGATCACGCCAAATCGGGCAAGCTGGAGTCGATGCCCGCCGGCTTCAATGTGGCGCCAGTGGCGCGCGCGGAGCCTATGCCGACCGACGACCTCGCAGCGAACTCAGCGCACCCTGAGCTGGTCGCACGATGACGGTCGGCGTCGTTGGGCCGATCGATCGGCTTACCGTCGGCGTGGCCGACCTCGTTGTCGGCACACCGGCATCGGCATCGGGCGGCGATCGGACCGCTCGATCGGATAGATCGTTTCGTTCAGCCCCGCCCGGCGCGAGCCATCGAGGAACACCAGCTGATGAGCACGCGGTCGAAGCTGTCGTCGCGCGGCTTCAAAAAGTCCTCGCGCCTGAGGCGGATGTTCGACGCGCAGATGTCCCAGCACGAGGCTGGGGCGACTGGATACGTCCCGTGAGCCCCCGATGGCAGCGTATGGGTTCGGTTCTGCAATTTGTTTTTGCGTATGCACAACTACGACAAACCTGTCCATTTGAGCGTTCGCCCGCCCAGCCCGCCCGGCATTTCGCTTGTGAGGTCCTCAACATGTTGCCCCTGATTCACCGAGCGCGTTCCACTACTCGCCAAGTGCCTACTCGCAAACGTCCGAGGAAGACACATGGTCGCCTCGATATGCAGGATCGCGACCCCCCCGCGGCGGATCCGGGCCATTTGCGAGTGGATGCTTTGCGAGCAACGGACCGCGCGTGTCCACTGACGGGGCACGCTGGCGCACGGGCTCTGGGAACCGTCCAAGAGCGACTCGGGATGGACACCCGGTCCTGCGGGAGGGGCCGGGCCTCCGAGGGCCCACGTGCTGCAAGCACGGTACAAGAGCAGCTCGACGAAGACAACAGCTACTCGACGCGACGATCCCTTTGGCACGCTTCGGTTGACGGCACGTTTCGGCTGAAGACATTGTCCTTTTCGACATCTGCACATCATCCACAGTGCTGCGTGCGGTGTCTCGAAAATGACCATTGCAATGATGGCCTGATATCAGTAGCATGGCCTCTTCGGATTCTGGAATTTCCATCCCCTCCAGGAGGACGAGGGAGGAGGGAGGAGGGAGGAGAAGAGGAAGGAGGAAGGAATAATGAGGGATGAGGGAGGAGGGAGGAGAGGGATGAGGAAAGGGAGGAGGAGGAGGAAGAAGAGGGAGAAGGAAGGAGGAGGGAGGGAGGAGGGAAGAGGGAGGAGGGAGGGGGTTAGGGAGGAGAGGAGGATGAGGAGGACCTACGCCTCCTCCTCTTCCTCCCCCCCCTCTCCCCCTCCTCCGATCTCCTCCTCCTCCTCCTCCTCCTCCTCCGTTCCTCCTCAGCCTACTCCGTTCGTTCTCCTCCGAACTCTGACGGCCTCCGACGGAGGTGTCCGCAAGTATCCGGACGCGAAACGATGTGCTGGGCGGGGGAGACGCATGCGAGCATCGCCACAAGGGTCGTAGGTGGGCATCCAAACAGGCAAACCGCCTGAGACATCCCCACAATCTATGCGCGAATCCTGGAGTGTCCTGACCCCTGCCGCTCCCCCCTGGGAGTGCTGAAACCAGCGCCTCGCCTGAGACATCTTCAGATACTGCTCCGAAAGCAAGAGGTATTGGGCACCGAAACAGGCAAACCGCCTGAGACATCCCCACAATCTGGGCGCGAATCCTGAAGTGTCATGTCCCCTGCCGCCCTTCTTTGGGGGTGCTGAAACCAGCGCCTCGCCTGAGACATCCTCAGAAACGGCTCCGAAAGCAAGAGATGTTGTGTACCGAAACGCGCAAACCGCCTGAGAGATCCCCGCAATCTGGGCGCGAATCCTGGAGTGTCCCCACCCCCTGGCGCCCCCCCTTGGGAGTGCTGAAACCAGCGCCTCGCCCGAGACATCCTCAGAAACGGCTCCGAAAGCAAGAGATGTTGTGCACCGAAACACGCAAACCGCTTGAGAGATCCCCGCAATCTGGGCGCGAATCCCGGAGTGTCCCCACCCCTGGCGCCCCCCCTTGGGAGTGCTGAAACCAGCGCATCGCCTGAGATATCGTCAGATACTGCTCCGAAAGCAAGAGGCGTTGGGCACCGAAACAGGCAAACAGCCTGAGACAGCCCCGCAATCTGGGCGCGAATCCTGAAGTGTCATGACCCCTGCCGCCCTCCCTTGCGAGTACTGAAACCAGCGCCTCGCCTGAGACATCCCCAGAAACTGTTCCGAAAACAACACATGGTGGGCACCGAAACAGGCAAACCGCCTAAGACATCCCCACAATCTGGGCGCGAATCCTGGAGTGTCCCCACCCCTGGCGCCCCCCCTTGGGAGTGCTGAAACCAGCGCCTCGCCCGAGACATCCTCACAACGTGTGTGTGTGTGTGTGTGTGTGTGTGTATGTGTGTATGTGTGTGTAAGTGCGTGAGCGCGGAAGTGATGTGACTGATTCTGAGTGAAGAAGGGCGACTCAGAGTATGAGTAAGTCTTAGTGTGAGTGGGTCTGAGTGTGAGTGAGTCTGGGTGCGAAACATCTTCACAACGTGCGTTTGGGTCTGAGCGCTGAAGTGGTGTGGCTGAGTCTGAGTGAGGAAGAGCGGGGCAGAGTATGAGTGAGTCTTAGTGTGAGTGAGTCTGCATATGAGTGATCCCGAGCATGAAACACCTGAGCATCAGGAATCTAAGAGCGAGTGCCTCTGAGTATGAGTGAGTTTGAATATGATTGAGTCGACATGTGATTTAGTCATATAGTAATGACCTGAGGTTGGGAGGTGTGTTCTCGTTCCCCGCGCGGCCAAAGTAATTACTCACTGCGTGGGGCTCCCCTTATGTGCATATATTCGCATGGACCTGTCCGCCGTGAGAGTCTAGGCGCGAGAGTTTTCGAATATAAGCGGGCTTGAGTTGTGACGGTCTGGTCATGAATCTAATTTCGAACAGCTTGGGGCGTGAATGAGTCTCGGTAGTACGAGCGCGTCTCTGCGCATGAGCCTGGGGCCTCTTGGGGCCTCCAGAAACCTCCTGGGTCTTCCTGGGGCCTCCAGGAGCCTGGGGCCTCCTGGGGCCTCTTGGGGCTTCGAGTGGCCTCCTGAGGCCTCCTGGGGCCTCGCGTAGCCTCCAGGAGCCTCCTGGGACCTCCTAGGGAGGATTCGTGCCCCAGGGGAAGCCCGATCTATAGGAAGAGACCTACAAAAACATTGCGGAGTTGAGCCGCAACAGAAGGGCAGTCTATAGGAACATGCGTAAAACACCAAGGACTCGTACCCCAGGGGAGGCCCAATATATAGGAACAGGCGTAACATATGTAGGATTGTATACACAGGAGAATGACACTACATGGAAACATACGTATAACATCAAGGATTCGTGCTCCTGGTGAGGCCCAATCCATAGGAGCATACGTAAACACATGGGATTGGAGCAACTCCTGTTGCCTTCTGAGGCCTCCTGCTCCTGGGGCCTCTCGGGGCCTCCTGTTGCCTGGGCCTCCTGGCACTGCCTGTGGCCTCCTGGGGCCTCCTGTGGCTTCCTGAGGCCTCCTGGAGCTTCCTGGGGTCTCCTGGAGCATATTCGGACATCCTGTGGCCTTTTGAATCTTCCTGTGGCCTCCTGATGCCTCCTGGGACCTCATGTGGCCTCCTGGGGCCTCCTGAAGCCTGCTGGAGCCTCCTGTGGCATCCTGGGGAGAATATGTGCCCACGAGTCTGGCCACCAAAACAGGTAAACCGATCGAGACATCCTCAACATCTGGCCCCCCTGGGGGGCGAACATGAGCGCCTCGCTCGAGACATCCTCCAAATCTGCTCCGACAGCGGAGGATGTTGGGACCAAAACAGGCAAACCGCAAGAGACATCCCCGCCATTTGGGCGCGAACATCATCATCATCATCATCATCATCATCATCATCATCATCATCATCATCATCATCATCATCATCATCATCAGCATCATCATCATCATCATCATCATCATCGCCATCATCATCATCATCATCATCATCATCATCATCATCATCATCATCATCAGCATCATCATCATCATCATCATCAGCATCAGCATCAGCATCAGCATCATCACCATCACCATCATTATCATTATCATCGCCATCAGCATCAACATCATCATCATCATCATCATCATCATCATCATCATCATCATCTTCATCATCATCATCATTATCCATCATCCATCATCCATCATCCATCATTCACCATCACCATCATATTCACATCATACCCTCACCATACGATGGTGAGGTGGTCCGGCGCGGTCGGATAATAACATGAACCCCATCCTTTGGATATGGGGAATAACAAGAACCCCATCCTTAAGATACGGGGAAAAGTATAAGCATAAACTTTCGGAGCTCATCGCGCACGTCTTTTGGACCGGCGCTGAAACACCCTCTCAGGCAGTAAACCTAAAAAGGTCTGGGGACAATTTGCTCTACCGCTTCGGATTATTATTGGAGTATGGCTTGACCGTGTTGTACTTTTCCTCCAGGATGGGCCTGTAGGGGGACATGCCCAACCTAAGCCTCGATCCTCGATCACCCCTCAGTCCTCCCGCCCCGATCCTTGATGTCTTCTAACCCCCCCGTCCGATCAGTCCTCGAGCCCTCTCAGGCGGCTGTCGCCTCGCGCCCCACGACGGCCCCCGAGTCGGAGGACCGGGGCGGACATAATCGAGTCGGAGGACCGTGTTCAGTTCAAGACTCCGGGCGATTGCGCACCCATCGGATCCGAGGCGCACGAAATGCACATCGAAACTTTTCGAATGTCCGAAGTTATCCAACAAAGTCGTGGAGGAATTGGACGCCTTCGATGCTGCAGCGAGGCTGGAGGCCCAGCGAGCGGGCCGATCTCGCCCCCTCTCCGCCGCTCTTGCCACTACAGCTTCTGGCAAAGCAGTTGGCCGATTAAGACGGTGATTCATCACCGGGCACTGCACTGATGGACTTGTGACCTCTCGGAGAACCTTGGAAAAAAAAACGACACCACCACGACTACCGTCGGCCCAGATTAGTAGGTCGACCCTGCCAAATCAACGTTACCCTTGTGTCCTGTGTCTCGCGACCCATGCTTCCTACATTCCTGTGGCAATGTGGCCCTCGGAAGGGGTCTTGTGTCTTGTGTCCTCTCGCGTGTCCTCTCCAATGAAGTCCGACTGTACCATAGACTACACGTAAGAGTGACCCCTCGCCGGAGTGACCTCGGGTGCGGGTCCATTGGGGCCCCCCTCGATCGCCGAACGCGATGCGATAGCAGCGTCTTGCGCGCTTGTGTTTGGTCCCCCCGCGGCCCCCAAGAAGCCGCGCACCAAAGGTCACTCTTACCCAGGGTCACTCTTGCGTGTCGCCGACATGGGTGCCATGCCAACAAACACCCCGCTTGCCTCCAGGGTGCCCTGGGTTTCTTGGATCTCGGTGGTCTTGCTGTGGATGGCGTGACGTTCCCACACCGAAAGTCGATGGGACGTCGTTGGGTCTCAGGATTGGGTTTTTCGTGGAAGGTTTCTCGTGGTCGGGCCCCTACTGTACCATGGGGTGCCGCCTCCAGCGCAGGGCTCCGCGATCGCCCCCGAGCTGGGGAGAGATATGGGGGCGTCTCTCGAGCGGGCGGGGCGCGGCCACACGACCGGGCGGGCCCCCCCTCTCCTGCTTCTCCTCGCGCCGGCGGTGCAGAAAAAAACCCGCGTGGTAAGCTTGAGTCGGGCGTGCCCCTCGACAGGAGGAAGATTCAGACATAGTCCACAAATAGTCTGGGGACGACTTTTCAATTATGTGTGACAGTCATGTTTCTTCCAAAATCCGCCAGCAGGGGGACATGCCCGACTTACGCGTAGTAAGGATGAGCGACTTTCCAAGGTTATCTTTGCATCCTTCCCCTTCGGCCCATCCTTGGCCGCTATCGCTGGCTGCACCCCCCTCGCAGAGGTGTCGACATGTCCTTCCAAGGCCCCTGAATCCTTATCATGCGTCCCTTCTTGTACGGGTTGACTGGTGGTGGTGGAAGTCTCGACTCACCGCTACAGGTTTTCCCGGGCGCGTCGAAACCAGAGCTCCGACCTCGAGATTGTTTGTTCGCAACGTGTGCCCCTGCGAGTCTGGACCCCTTCCCCTGGACGAGTGCCACAGGTATGCAAAGAAGAAACAGGCCACCGCCAGCGAGAACCCATCGGGGGGGGGGGGGGGGGGCGAAACCTAGGCGGTGGTGGCACGCCCGAGCGTCACCCAGTTCAGGGCGATGCTCAGTCGTGCCACCGCGAAGGGGTCGGTCCTCCCCAGTGGGTTCCTGGTGACGGTGGTCCTGGCTTCTCGTTTGAAAGGTGACGAAGCTCCGCCGCAGACCTGAAGCTTCGAAGCCAGATCCGCAAGCCTCGAGAGGACGCTTCCTTCGAGCAGCACTTCAGAGACAAAGTTAGTTTCTCCTGGGTCCACGCCGCGGACCTCTTGGATCGGTGCTGGGCCCCGTCCCTCTCGCGGGGAGAGGAGGGGGGGCGCTGGAGGGGCTTCCAGCGATCAGGGCGCGCAGATGAGCAGAGTTAAGTCGGGCCCGTTCCTCTACAGGGGGAGTGTGCAAAATGAGTGAAAGAATCGTCTGGGGACTATTTTTGGAGTACTTGTTGATTATTTTTGGAGCATTTTCGGGGTATCCTTTATTTTTCATCGAAGATCCCCCTGTAGGGGGACACGCCCGACTTAAGAGCAGAGGGCCCCGCCTCCGCACAGAGTCGGCGCGCTCCGCCGGCAGATCGGGCGGCACCGGCCCCACGCTCCGGGGGGTGCCCTGCCCGATCAGTGACTAACCAGGCGATCGCAAACATGGATCAAAGGGAGGGGGGGAGGGGGGGAGGGGGGAGGGGGGGGGAGGGGGAGGGGGAGGAGGAGGGGGAGGGGGGGAGGAGGAGGGGGAGGAGGAGGAGGAGGAGGAGGGAGGAGGAGGAGGAGGAGGAGGAGGAGGAGGAGGAGGAGGAGGAGGAGGATCAGGCGATCGCAAACATCGGATCAAGGGGGGCGTGGATTTGCGACGGGTCCCGTTCCCATGGGAAGTCGCGGATTTCCGCCGCCAAACGAGGCGGCACCGGCCGCATTTGGGGGGAGGGCACCTCTCCCGATCCATAGATTTGGCGGCCGCGCGCCAAATCCATGGATCGCGAATCCATGTTTGCGCGCCCCCGAATTATGGCGCTCACGATCCCACGGATCCGCAATCTATGTTCATGCGGGCCCGATGCACGGTCAAGACTCTGCAATAAGGACGACGCTGGGCTCAGGAGGTGCTCGGGCTTTGGGGCCGCCAGGTCGGGGAACCCGTTCATGGCCGAGCTTCGCCGTGGCCAGAAGGGCCCCGTCATTCCTCATGCAGCGTTCCTTCTGGCACGGTAGGTTCGCATCGTGTCGACCGGCGGCGACCCCGCCGCCAGCATTCAGCGTTGACCGCCGCTGGCGGCCCAGACTCGGTCGATGTTGAACGATCGGACGTTTCGGAAACGGCCGATCGTCCAAGCTTGAACGATCCCCGCGGTGTCAGGAGCCAACGCCGGGGTCGGCACGACACGAACCCGCGGAAGCACGATGACTGTATGCCGTGTCTGTCTTCTCGAGGAGGCGCCTGGAGGCGCCCGTCTGCGCCAGGAGTCGCCGTGCCCAGGCCCTCCGCCTCCACGCCCTCTGCCTCCAGGTCCTTCGTGTCCAAGTGGTCTGCGCCATCCAGGTCCTCTGCCTCCTGGTGCTCCGCTTCCGGGTCCTCCGCCTCCGGGTCCTCCGCCCTTTGTCGACGGCGGCCATGAACAAGCATCTTGGCCGTTGCGTTCTTCCAGCGACGCTGCGCCTGCGTGGCGCGAGAGGAAGAAATGAAAGAACGCCGACTTAAGTTTGTGGGCCCATCCATCACGCCTGGCGGGCGAAGCAGAGAACAGAACGGCGTAAGATGCAAAGAAAAAGACAGTGGGCCCACAAGGGCACAGGGCATACGCCAGCCAGGCGGTGGCAGAGAGAGGGAACCACATCGAAACCGAACAGATCCTTTGCCTCCAAAGGGACTGCGGGGGTCGAACCAGATCCCCACAAACCTGGCGCCGCGCGTGCAGTGCCACGGGCGGCGGCCCGTCTTCCCATCCTACCATCAGAGGGGGACGCGAAGTCCCTGAAGACGGGACGGGGTGGGCACGAGCGGGCATCAGAGCCAGCTCGAAATCCAAATAGGCATCATCGCCTCATCGACCTGGATTGATCCACTCATAGATCCAATGCAGTTTGTTTTACTTGAACTCTTCCATGCGTAGCATTACGCTGGGCGTGTCCCTCTACAGGGAGAGTCCTCAAAGATAGTGAAAAATAGTCTGGGGACGATTTGTCGAGCATTTACGTTTGCCGATTTCTGGGCTGATTCTACATTTTTCGACCAGAGCCCGCCTGGGGACACGCCCGACCTAAGCGCAGCACGCTCTCCCCTTCGGCCCTCGCGAGGAACCGCGCCCCGCGACAGCCCCCGCCCCAGCGGCGAGCGCGCCCGCCACGCCCCGCGGGCAGCCCCGCAGCCCCGAGAGCGCGGCGGCGGTCCGCCAGAGGCGCGCCCGGGAGCAGAAGGCGCGGCCCCGCACCAGGAGGAGGAGGAGGGGGAGGAGGGGGAGGAGGAGGAGGAGGAGGAGGAGGAGGAGGAGGAGGAGGAGGAGGAGGAGGAGGAGGAGGAGCGCCAGGTCAGAATCAACGATACGGTCGGACCGGAGCATAGGATCGAGGTCGGTTCGGGGAGGGTGCCCTAGTGTTCTCTACGTTCGGGGGGCGCCAAGTCGGGAGCATGGGATCGAGGTCGGTTCGGGGAGGGTACCCTAGTGTTCTCTATGTTCGGGGGGGCGCCAAGTCAAGGGCAACGATGCGGTCGGACCGAAGTATAAGATCGAAGTCGATTCGGGGAGTGTGCCCCATTGTTCTTTGTGTTCGTCGTATGTTTTTGCGCGCCGTTGAGAATGATTGCCCTAAAATGTTATTCTGCCACCTCGTGTGCTGCAGCCCTGGTTCAATTCCATGGTGTAGCCGCGACGCCGCCCCGCGCCCGCTGCCAGGGGTGCAGCACTGGCTGGCCGCCCCAGCCGCTCCACGGGGACGCACCTTGCGATGTGAGTGTTTTCCCCTCCCTCCCTCCTCCTTCGCGGCCGTTTTCGCCTTCCTTTCCCTCTTCCTGCCGCCGGTTAATTTGCGCTTTCCGTTGCTCCGACCACCTGAGCGCGCGTGCGGACTGCCTCTGCCGCGCTGCGACGTAAAATTTGTTGTGCACATGGGTGCCCTCGGTGATCTTATGGGTTGGGGTGTCTTGGCCTCGGAGGGTCTCATGCTCTTGAAGGATGTTTTTTGTTTTTGGTCCGACTTCTAGGGGGAGAGGACCGGCTATACGTAGGAGTGACTTTCGCCTGAGTGACCCTTGGGTGTGGGCGCACGGGGGCATCCAGATGGGCGGCCCGACTAGCAGCCTGCGTGCTCGGGTTTGGCTCCCCCGCGCCTCTCTTGTCACCGCGCGCCAAAAGTAACTTCTGCCGAGGCTCACTTTTGCGGGTAGACGCGAGGAGGAGGAGGATGAAGGACACGATGGAAGAGCATAACCTATTGAAAACCCCTGGGCGTTTGGAACCGAATAACAAAGGGCGGCATAAACATGATTTGTTGACGGTCTTCGCGGGTTTCTTGGATTTGCGCTGGACCTTTCTGGCAGCGCCTCCGGCGCCGCCCCCTGACCCGCTCCGCGCGCCTGGGAGGGGGCTCCACATCAGATCCACGAAACCCGTGCGAACTAGCACAAGTTTATGTTTATGCCGCTTCTCGTTTCTCTAGGAGCATAACATCTGAAGAGCCACGGCCTTCTGGAAGGAACACATGCAGGAGGGCCCCAGGGATCCCGCGGAAAGCTCGTGGCCCATCGACTTCCCAGGAGGCTTTCTGACGAGGAGAGGCCTGCCAAGTAGGCGGCGCGGGCAGCGGCGGGCCTCCCTGGAGGTGGCTCTCCTCGGCGGCGCGCCGCAGGGGCCAAGGCGGAGGGGCATCTATAGGGGGGGTGGGATATAGGCGCAGAGGGGGAGCACATCGACCCCCGATCGCCCATTGATCGCCGATACGGTCCTGATAGCCCCACGCCTCCCAGGACCGTCGGATTTGCTATCGGGGGCCTGACGCCGATGTATCGGTTATGTATCGCCGAATCCAAGTCGATGCTCCCGCCCCTGAGCCAGTCTCCAGTTACATATCGTTGCCCCTCACCAGGGACCAGGGGGGAAGGGAAGGAGGTGGATCCATTGGATGTGCCCTCGTGGTGTCGGCTCATGGTGGGCTTGGCTGTGGCGCGTCGGGTGTGCATGTCTGTGGTGGTCAATTCCTCCTTGTCGCTGGAGGCCTGCGCTTCTGGGTGCGAGACTTGCTTTCGTGCCTGCGGGCTGCAGTCCCGCGCGGCCACCTGCGCCGGATGAAGCTTCGGAGTTCCGCGCATGATGGGGCGACAGCGAAGCGTTTGACTAGCGCTTGGCCCTGGTGTTCCTCATCTTCCTCTCGTGCCGCTTTCCGCCCGCATTGTTCTCTTAACACGTTCCTCTTTCCTTCGGCTGGGACCCAGTACGGCCAGGAAGTTTTGCGTATCGTTTCGCACCGCCCGTCCTGGCCGACCACGCTGTGGCGTCGACGTGCTGGCCACGTCCCAGCCCCCGAGCGTCAATGTCCCGAACTCTTCCCAGCCTTCCGCCCCGCGGATCGGAGCGACACGCCATCAGCTTTCACGGCATGGCTTGTCGCCGGGGCCGCCGCCGCCGAGGCACCCTGAGCAAAATTTCCTGGCCGCAGGAGCCAGCGTAGACACGGGCTCTTTGCTGCTCCTCTCCGCCAGGAGCTCGCCGACGCCACCAGCGCCCTCCGAAAGGTGGGGCCTGGCGGCTGGGACGCCCCCTCTTTCGCGGGCTACCGGCAGCGGTTCTCAGGGGCAGCGTTGGCGGGGATGGGCTCAGGGGGGAACGCGCCAACGTCCAACCACTCACTCATGGCCGATAGGGGGAAGATAGCCCACCCCGCCCAGGACCGTGGGTATCCGCTATGAGGGGCATGTCGCCGATTTCTCGGCGATGTATCGCCGATTCCAGCTCGATGCTCCCCCCCGAGCCAGTGTCCCCCTATCTGTCGAAGGACAACAGAATTTCATAAACATCGGAGTGAGGTGGCCGAACGGTCATTCATTGTCCCTGGGTGCGTGGCTGAAGTGGGGATCTTTCGTGAAGATCCTGCTTGTTGTGTTGTTGCTGTAGTTGTAGTTGTTGTTGTTGTTGTTGTTGTTGTTGTTGTTGTTGTTGTTGTTGCTGTTGCTGTTGCTGTTGCTGTTGCTGTTGCTGTTGCTGTTGCTGCTGTTGCTGTTGCTGTTGCTGTTGGTGTGGTTGTTGTTGGTGTTAGTATTGTCGTTGTTGTTAATGGTGTTGTTGTTTATTTTCATGTTGTTGTTGTTGTTGTTGCTGTTGTTGTTGTTGTTGTTGTTGTTGTTGTTGTTGTTGTTGTTGTTGTTGTTGTTTATGTATCTGTGTTGTTGTTTGTTGTCGTCGTCCCCCCCGCGACCCACCCGCGACCCATCCCCGACCCACCCCGCGACCCGCCCGCGACCCACCCGCGATCCACCCGCGACACGCCCGCGACCCACTCGCGACCCACTCGCGACCCACTCGCGACCGACCTGCGACCCACCCCGCGACGCACCAACATTGCTTTAACCATAAAATTGGCGCCTGCGGCGGGCTCGTTGCATAATTTGTCAGACTTTGGCGCCTGCGGTGGGCTTCTTCAGAGCCTCGCAGACTGCCGACGTCCTCGCCGCCCCCTCACTCTTATCCGCAACTGCGGGGTGCTACGTAATTTTGACGACGTCGCCAGCGCATCGCCGATGCATCGCCGATGCATCGGCTACACATCGGCGATGCGGCACAGTCCTCCGACCCCATCCACTCGGACCCCCTCTAGGAGGCATTTACCTGATACCTGCCCCTCAGGCTCAACTCCAGGGACATGATTTGTTCATGACGTCGACCCCCAGAGGTCTCGACCCATTCCCCAGGACCAGATTTTCGTCCCGAGTCTTTTTTGTTGACGGTTCCGAGGCCCGGTACGGGCCCCCAGAGGCAGAAAATAGAGCACGAATTCCCCGAAAGGGCCCTCGTGGAGCGCCAGGGCGCGGCACCCGGCACAGAACAATGGGCGCGTATAGAGGATGTCTCTACAGGCCCTCTGGCCGAAACCCTACATGCCGCCACGCTGGTCCCAGGCAGGCTGTGCTGCCCATCGGAAGAGGACGAGGAGGGGAGAAGCAGGCAGACGACGACGAACGCCCAGGCGGGAGGCCAGGGCCGGCGAGGCGGGCGGGCAGGCAGAAGAGGTGCCAGGCGGAGACAGCGGGCAGAGAGCAGGAGGAAAGGGTTGGGAGGGAAACAACGAGCAGAAGGGGAGGGAGGAGGACGACAAGGAGGAGGGGAGGGGAAGCAACTACAGGCAGACAGGCCGGGCCAGGGGCAGGGAAAGAAGAGCCACCCGCGACGTGGTTACGGACCCTACGGCGGCGACGTGGGGAGGGCGGCCGACCGAGCCCATCACGCTGCGGCTTGGTGGGGATTGCCCTCTGCGGGATCCATCCGCCGCCCCGCCGAGGAAGGGCCGGACGTCGCGCGCGACGGGTCGCCGGCGCGACGCTGGCGAAAGGGCGCGGGGGGCGCCCGCGCTGCCCAGCCAGGGCGGGGGGGTGGGCGGGGGGGCGCTACGCAGCGCCGGGGGCACTTCGCACGGCGTCCGCCGTGGAGGCAGCCGTGGCCGCGGCCAGGCGGGCCGCTGCCACCCCCGCTCCTCCAGACTGCGCTTGGAGGCGCCGCGACACCGCCCGCGCGTTCTCCCTGTGCAGGGTGACGGAAAGTCGCTGGGCGTGTTGGCCCGCAAACAGTGCGGCGCCTCCCCCCGTGGCGTCAGCCACCCGCTTGGCCAGGACCCCGAAAGCCCGCGTGCCTCGCGGCCCCATCCGCCGCTGTGGGCTTCCGCCGCAGTGGGGATGAAGGTGAAGCCTTGTGCCGCGCACTCGTGCCGCTCCGTCGCCGCGCCTGACGAAGCGGCCGACGCGGCGAGGAGATCGGCGCGCAACCCTGACGTGGCGGCAAAGTCCCAGGCGGCCGCCGTGCCGTGGGGCCACCGCGGCAGGTTGACGGCGAGGGCGGTGGCCGTTGTCGTCCGCTTGGGGCCCGCCCTGCTCGCCCCCAGGGATGGCTTCCCCGGCGTGGCGCGGGGGCGGCAGCCCCGGGCGTTCCACCTCCGCCCCGACGCGGCCCGCGGCCAGGGCGTCGAAGAAGGCTTGGTTGTGCAGGGCGTAGTGGTGCTGGGTCGGGTCGCCGCGGCAGGCGCAGACCAGGGCGTGCCGCAGAAGACGCCCACCACTTCGCCACAGGCTGGCCAGAATCGCTCCTCCTGCAGGAGCTGGACTCGCAACCGCCTCTGCAGGCCGACCTGCGTGAGGCCGCGCGGGAACTCGGTGCCGGTGGCATCGCAGGGCGGCGCCTGCATGGAGCCACGCGGCAGCCCCCGGGCCGGCCTGCACCAGGGAGAGGTGCGCCCTGCTGGCCAGGGTGGCGCCCGCCAGGAGCCCGTCGAGCGCGGCGCTGCCCACCGCGCCGGCGCGCGTGGCAGAACACCACCCGGCCGACGTCCCGCGCGACTGCGTCGTGGGCCTGTGCCGCAGCCGCAAGGCTACCCCCATCGCGGTCAGCGCTGTTGGAGTAGCCAGGGTAGAGCTGCCGACGGAGGTCGGTGCTATTCGCTCTGGAAGCGATGTAGGCGGCGGCTGCGTGCTTCGCGGCAGAGCGTAGGCCAAGTCCCCCTTTGTTGAGCTTGAGTTGAGCCTGCCGCCAGGAGGCGTCGGAGGGCGAGCGCCCGCTCGTTGTCTCAAGGCAGCCCCGGACAGCATCGCCCATGGACAGCTGGGAGACGGTGTGTGAGGTGGGCGGCACCACGCGCGCGGAGTAGCCCAGCTTGCAGATATAGGCGCACCAGCGCAGGAGGTGCAGTTCGACCTGCGCGTTTTCGAGCTCCCCCAGATCATCTAGCAGCGTGGTGGCGCACGCGACCCGCTGCTCGGCGTGCTCCGCGCGGAAGTCAGCGTCCCACTGGCGCGACGAGCAGCTCGAAGCTGCGATCGGTGCAGAGGCGGAAGCCCGGCGGGAAGCCGGACACGTCGGAGGCGTCTCCGCCAGTGGGGACCAGGCTGGTGCTCAGCTGGAGGCTCACCGCGGCGAGGTTGGCCACGAGCAAGTGGAGGAGACGCGCGACGGCCAGCGCGTCGCCCGCGAGGCAGTCGTCGCCCAAGTAGAAGAAATTCAGATCGACGGCGCCGTCGGCGCCGAAGCGCGGCGCGCGGAGGGCGGCTTCAGCGGCGCGCTGCAGAGCGTGGGAAAGCAGCAAGGGCCACAGGGGGTCGCCCTGCTGCACCCCGCTCTCGGAGCGGATTGTCTGCGCGTGGGTAATGCCAGTCGGCCCAGGGCGCCAGCCCGGGGAACTCCTCGTGGACCGCGCGGAGCAGAGCCTGCCTGTCCAGGGTGTTGAAGGCGTTGATCAAGTCCAGATTCCTTGCCCTGGTCTCCGAGGTGGCGGGTCCACCACTGGCGCGCGACATGCACCGCCGCCTCGGTGCCGCGGGGGGCCGCGACGCTGGTGGAGGGGGGCCAGTCGGTCGCGCGCGGCGTCGGCTACCTCGCGGCAGAGATACTCAGACACGGCTGGCGGGGCCTGCCCCCTGGCGCAGAGGTTAACGAGGTTTCGGAGCTGGTCGACGACCTCGCCCCTGTGGGCCGCGCTGAGCAGTGCGTCTTTTACAGTGTTGGGGTCGGAGGCCCGTTTGCCCGGCAGCCGAGCCTCGGAGGAAGGCCCGCGCTTTCCTCCAGACCGCGCCCCCGTCCACCCAGCAGCCGCGTGGGCAGCTGGGAGGTTGGCGGGATCCACAGCTCGGCGGCTGCGCGGGCGCTTCCGGCCCATCTGTTCGATGACGTCGGGGGTGACCTCCACGGGCGGCTCGCTGGTCAAAGCCGAGCAGCTCTTGGAGTACTGGGCGTCCGCGGCGAGCTGCACGCACTTCTCTGCTCCTTGGGCGGCTTGCGAGGCGGGCTTGGCAGTGCGAGCCTCGACAGCCTCGGCCCACAGGGAGGCCCGCTCCCCGTCCAGCCAGCGCCAGCACAGCGCCTTCGTCTGCGCTTCGCTGCCGCCCTGCTGCCCCTGCCGCCGCGGGCGCGGGGGCGCAGGGTGCACTTTAGGAGCATCTCGAGATCAGCCCAGGCATCCTCGGTGTTATTGTGCACGGTGTGGGCCGCTGTCTGCGCCAAGCACCGTGCCCAGAGGTCCTAGGCTCCTTTCGGGACGTAGCGCTTGGTGGTGGAGCGCTTGGAGAAAGCTTCCCAGAGGGAGGGAGGATCCGCGGGCCCGCCGCGCGCTTGGTCCCCGGCGGCGGGCGCGGCGGCTGCCCCAGCTGTGGCCGCGCCCGCGGCGAGCGGCACCGCGGGCAGATGCCGCCGAAGCGCGTCGACCAGAGCCACTGGCAGACCGAGCGCTGCTCCTACCCGTGCTTTTGCAGGTACTCGGGCAGGACTGGCGGGAACCCAGGACATCGCCCGGCGGCGTGCTCGTCCAAGTGTGGACGCATGCGTTGGTGGCCCCTCCAGCTGGCGGAGGACGCAGCGTCGCCGCGCGGGCGCCCAGGGATCGGACAGCGCACCCGGACGCGGGCACGAACCCTGCGCCGGTGAGCAGGATCGGGCGCGGGAGGAAGGCCCCCCCACCCAGCTGGCGGCGCAGCTTGTGGAGCCTCGGGCAACAGGGCAGGAGGTGCCGCGGTGGGTGCCGCAGCGGCCGCCTGCGGGGCAGCCGTAAGTTCCTCGGCGGGAGCCTCAGCCGCGGCGGCCTGACCAGGCATTGCAGGCGGAGCAGCCGTTGGCGGCTGGTCAGGGGCAGCGGCGGCCAGGGCCTGCCGAGCCGCCGCGCTTCGGCCAGCGGCAGCGCGGCGGCGCTCCTGCAGGGGGGCGCCCGCGTCGACGTGCATAACCCGATCGGGGTCGATGCTCACCTCTCTCAGCCCAAGTCCAGGGAATCCACGTCAGGGTCCGTGCCCTCAGTGAGGTTCTGCCTGAGTCGGCGCCCCAGAGAATTTCGGGGAGGTCCGGTCTCGACGAACGTGTTGCGGACGGGTACGTCGTGAACAGAAGACAGGGCAGCCGCTGGCGCTAACCCTGACGAGGTAAAGCTCGCGGAGGCTGCGGGTGGTTGCAATGGCGACTCCTGTGGAGGAGAGCAGCTGCGGGCCTCGCTGTCGAGGGCGTTGCTGCTTGGGGGAGGTCTTGGCTGGCGGTTCCCTCCTCCGCGGCGGCACGTGCAGCGCTGGGGGTTTTGGAACTTGATGTGGTCAAGCTTCAAAGGGGTTGGGGATCTCTGCCCCTCTGGGTCATCTCCGAGGGCGTTGTGTGAATGGTGGGGCGAAAATGGGGGGGGGAAGACAGGCGCACCCCTCTATGACCTGAAGGGGCTCCTGGGGCCCACTGGGGCACGAAGGGTGCACGTTGCTTCGCCCCCCATCTATCGCTTCCCGGTTAAGAAACGCCCAGCTTTGCCCAGATGTCTCGACCCATTCCCCAGCACCAGACTTTCATTCTGAGACGTTTTTTGACGGTCCCGATGCTCTGTACGGGCCCCCAGAGGCCGAAATTAGCGAGACACGTTTCTTCGTGATTTTGTTCAGGTCACCGTTGCCTTATTCATTCTTTCTCGGGTCGGAGCGGGCCTTCGCACCCCCCCATAGAGTATATAGAGTCTGGCTGTTGTTGGCGCCTGTGTCAAGCTCGTGGGGTCTCCCCCATAGGACGCAGTGTTGCAAGCAGGTCGCACTAAGCAGAGGTCCCGAGCCAGACCCTCCCCCCTTCCGACCAATGTCGAGACGCCGAATAAGGAAACGTTCGCCAGGACTCGAGGGGGTCTGGGATCTCTGCCCCTCAGGTTCATCTCCGAGGGCATGCCCGGCGCCGTGAAAGGCCTCACCGAGCTCGCGGCCAAGTCCTCGCGCGCCGCCCTGGACGCGGGCGCCTACCGCGCCCCCGGCAGCCGCAACGGACAGGTTCCGGATGCGTTGAACCGTCTTGGGGGGTCGGGGGGACTTCTCGTGGCCACGGCCGGGTCGACCTCGAAAGCGTGGCGAGAGAGAGGAGGATGGGTAGACCCCACCTCGGGGCCTCAGCAGCAGCGACTGCGGGCCTCTCATCCGCCCCGAGCCGTCCGCAGCCTCCGTCTGTATCGCCCTCCACACCCGTAGACAGAAGTCCAGGGCCCACGCGGGCCGCCTCCCTGCTCTGGATGGGGCAATACTTTCCCTCTTCTTTGGATCCGCTGGGGGGGTTGGGCACGTGCTGTCGGAACGGGTGGAGGGGGGGCTGGAGGAGGAGGAGGAGGAGGAGGAGGAGGAGGAGGAGGAGGAGGAGGAGGAGGAGGAGGAGGAGGAGTTGTAGGGACTTGCGGAACCCGTTGTAGGGAGTTGCGGAACCCGTGGCTCTCTCTATGTCTTGCCCAGGAGAAGGAGAATTCTTATTATAATTCTATCTAAGGCGGGGGTCCTGCTCTAGGCAGGCCGCTCAAACAACATATCAGCCTCGGTCAGGGAACGACGTGCCAGACTTTGGTGGCAGTCCCCTCTGCAGGCGTGGCAGCACTTCGCGCCCAGCCTTCGAGGCCTCGCAGCAAACTCCTTTCTGAATGCGGGGAGGCGCAACAGAACAGTGCCCTCCACAGTTCGTGCAGAAAAGGGCACCCCGAAGGACCGACAGTCGGTGGGAAAGGTGACAGCGGTCGGCCAAGGGGTGGTCAAGGGCACCCCCACACAAGTCCGACGGCCCCAGGGCGTCAGGGGCAGGGTCAGGACCATACTCACTCCTCACCTCCCGCGGCCCCAGCAGCTGGACACGCTGCTGGATGATACATCTGGGCTTGCACGGCGTGGGCCAAGAACCTTGAGGAGGAGGAGGAGGAGGAGGAGGAGGAGGAGGAGGAGGAGGAGGAGGAAGAGGAGGAGGAGGAGGAGGAGGAAGGGGGGGAATGGGCAAGCTTCGTCGGCGGAAGGTTAGTCGCCCACCTCTCGATTCATATCTCACCCAAAGTATAAGCAGCTCGTCTCTGGCGAGTCAGGACTCGGAGGAGGAAGCCGGCACCGATGCCCCAGCCACCGTCGAGCTGTAAAGCAGCCGGGGCGGGAGGATACTCGTTATCTTTGGCCTCGGGGGGCCCGTGCCGGGCCTCGGGACCGTGAGGCAACGGCTCGTGAACGGGTCGAGACCTCTGAGGGTCGCCGTCGGGAGCAAATCCTGCCCCCAGAGTTCGGGCATGCCCCTCTACAGAAGAAGTATCCACAAATTGTTAACACAAAAAGTACTTCGGGGCGATGTTTGACTATCTTCGACAATTTTGATGTTCGACTGTTTTTAGTTTTCCCTTGAAAATTCACCTGTAGGAGGACATGCCCGACCTAACCCCAGAGATGAGCCTGAGGGGCAGATATCAGATGGAGGCCTCCTAGATAGGGATCCGAGTGGATGGGGTCGGAGGACTGTGCCGCATCGCCGATGCAGTCGACGTTGTACACAAACATTACGTCGGGGGTCCGAGACTGCTCCCCCTCCCTCGTTTTCGCCTTCTTGGACCTCCCAGCAGGCCCTCGGCGCCACGGCCGGAGTCGCCTCGAAGTCCTGGTCAAAATGCGCCACGGGAGACGTTTGGGCCGGCCACGCGCAGAGGGGGGTATGGCTGGGGGAGTCGGGGAATGCTTCTTAGAAGCATTGCTGAGAATCATTCCTGCTTCTTCGAAGGCGCGGGCCTTGTCTGTAGGTGTACGGCCGGCGCTTTCAAAGAAGCAGCCTCCTAAGAAGCCTTCCCCCCTCCACCTACCCCCCTGTGCGCGCCGCCAAGGTCTGAGGTTGCAGCTGTATCGGTATCTTGCGGTTCCCCCCAAACTGGGAGATCTGCAACCATCGAGGAGCAAACAGTTGCACAATCATAGACGCTCTGAGCTTCGAAAGTTTATGTTTATGCATGTTGACTTCCAGTTCTGCGAATACTAGCGAGCCCTATGCCTGCGGGTCCGATCGACGTTTGTGTATCGGACACCTCCACCAGGGCTAGTTTGGCCGCAGACATCAACTTCTGAACCCCGGTGCTGGTTTTCTCCGAAGTCTGACCTGCAGTATAGAGCTCACGTGCAGCTACCTGGGGAGAGCAGTGGGGAGCTGAGGACGTGGCAGCTTTCGTCCTGTCTGTCGCCGCATCTCTGTGCGCCGCCTCTTTTGCTTCCTGTTACCCCGGAAGGTGAGACTTCCCTTGTGCTCCGCGTTCCGGTGGATGGACTATGAGAGCCTGGTCGATGACCCGGTCCTCGGTGAGGGGCCGGCCCCACCTCTGGTGGTGAGCGCGGCATCGGCCTGCGAGGTGGTCGGCTACACGTAAGAGTGACCCTTCGCAGGAGTGACCTTTGGTGCGCGGCTCCTGGGGGGCGCGGTCGGGCCAAGCCCAAGCGCACCGGCCGTCATTGTCGCACCGCGTGCAACGATCGGCGAGCCCTCTATTGCCTGGGGTCACTCTTCCTGGCATCGCTCGGACGTGTGCATGTTTTTCGGCGAGGCCACCGCCAAAATCCGCACCATCTCTAGGAGCATATTGGATCCTTCAGCGGAACCACAAAAAGCACGCGCGAAGCCGACGAACGCTTGAGGAGTGGACGTCCGAGCGATGGCAAGTCTCGCGCACTCCGAATCCATTATTAATCCTCCTCCGGGTTCGCTTTTTCAAGGCGCCTTTTTTGTAACTTGGAGGGTCCGGTTTATTAGGGCGCTTTCTTTGGATTGGAGCTTAGGGGGTCCGGTCTATTAAGGCGCCCCGTCGAAGAGGGGGGTCCAGAATGTTAGGTCGCATTTGGAGGGGGGTCCGGTTTTTCATGGGGGGTCGATTGATAAGGGATTTGGGGTATAGCCGAAGGTGGGCTTGGAGCTGCGCAGGCGGTACCCGCAGGCCCAGCTCTTCGTGAGCTTCGAGGCCACGGGCTTCGCGCCCGGGGGCGGTGCGCTCGCGGGCGCCGACGCCGCCCGGCCCTTCCAGCAGGAGCGGGGGCAGAGCGAAAGACCGGGTTGGCTACACGTATACGAGTGACCCTTCGCCGGAGCGACTTGTGGTGCGGGCCCATTGGGCCCCCCCGATCGCCGAACGCGATGCGCTAGCAGCGTCTTGCGCGCTTGCCCAGGGTCACTCCTGCGTGTCGCCAGCCGGAGGCCAACAGCTTGTCGGGATCTCGGCGATGGTGGCGACGCTCGGGCCGCTTCGGCCGAGAGAGTACCACCGGCACCAGAACCCAGGATCAACTTCCCCCGGTGGAGGTAGCCCACTGCGTTGGTACTGGTGCCCGTTATCAGGCCACCAGGAAAGCACGGACGGCACGAGGCCCGATGGCTCACCCTGCCAAGGAGCATGTGGTTCTGGTATCGATCGCCGATGCCAGGTAGATGTTTCCCCTTGGTCCCCCTATCGTTCCCCCTCAGCGGACGTGGGGACGTTTTGGCGCGCGCTTCTCGAACGGAGGGATATCGGATAGGGGGAGGCCGACGTAGAGAGCGGGGATGAGCAGACGGAGGAGGCGAGGGGGAAAGAGGAAGCCGGCGGGCGTGCGCAACATATTTCGTCGTATGATATGATGCTTGTGCTTCGAGGAGATGCTCCTGCGAACGACTCTCGAGGTGCCCGTGGACAACGCGGCCAAGCACCTGACCGAGCCCTCCACCCTGAGAGGCAAGCTCACGGCGAAGACGGCCCCATCAGTCTTGGCAGCCAAGGACGTGGCACTGCGTGGACCAAATTCTTTTTGACGATTTCACTCGTGTCGCTCCAGTTGTCGCAAATCCTCCCCAGAACATTTGCGACGCCCAGTGGGAGGAGAAGGAGGAGGAGGAGGTCAAGGAGCAGGATGAGGACATCCTTCGCAAAATCCCAGCGATATGTAACATGTCCTCTAGTCATCGAGCACAGAAGAACCCCAACCCTAATATCACGATGAAGCCGTGGCCTCACTGAGGTCCCCGTCTCCGCATTAAGGATACTTGATCTGGGGTCTGGGCGGCTTGGTCTGATACATTGCAGAGCTGAGGGAAGACCCCCTATCCCTAATGGTTTCCTCCTAGGTCCCCTCCCAAATGGTTAGTGTTTTTTGTGGGAAAATAGTCCGTGGGCATCATACCTATACGGCCCCCCTTCGGGTGATAAGGAGGTTGTGGGGGGGGGAGAGGGGGGAGAACCACCATCTGACTCAATCGATCTCACTATATCGATCTCACTCAACGGGCCACCACGGGACACCACGGGACACCGCGGGACACCTCTCGATCTCATTATCATCGATCTCACTCAGCGGGACACCACGGGAGACACGTGACACCCACCACGGGACACCTCGGGACACCACATCGATCTCATTATCGATCTCACCCAACGGGACACCATAGGACACCACGGGAGACACGGGACACCACGGGACACCTCGGGACACCACATCGATCTCACTAACTAGCGATCTCTCTATCGATCTCACTCAACGGGACACCACGGGACACCTGTCGATCTCACTAGACACCTCGGGGCACCACATCGATCTCAGTATCGATCTCACTGTCGATCTCACTATCGATCTCACCCAACGAGACACCACGGGACACCACGGGATACCACGGGACACCGCGGGACACCGCGAGCCACCACCGGACGAGCGGGAGGGCGGGGGAGAATCATTTATCTTGATTTCGCCCTAGCAACGGCGGACACCACGGGACACCCACCACGGGATACCGCTAGGGCCTCCGCCGGACGGACGGACGGAGGAGAATCATTTGTTTTGATTTCGCCCTAGCAACGGCGGGTTCAGTCCTCGCGCGCGCCCACGCAGCTTCGCCTCGCCCGCACGCACGACACGAACGAAACGACAATATTTCCCAGTTGGAGGTCTCCGTTCCACTGCGATCTCACCCCCGACACACTCCAGACGGATATCTCGCGACATCTCGGGAAGCCCAATGAGGATGCGCACCCTCTCCCCTCGGGCGCGCACGTGACCATTGCTGGTCCAGTGGCATTCGGCCGATCCTGCCGCCGTGCTTGGGCTGTTGGCGAGAGCCTGTTAGGGGTCACATGGGGCCTTCTTGGGGGTCCCATGGGGGTATCCCAGGGCCTCTTGGGAGCCTATTCGGAGCCTTTGGGGGGCCTCTTGGGTGCCTGTTGCGGGTGTTGGGTTGATTTCAGGGGGAGCGTTTCCAGCAGTGCATTCGATGGATGATGTTTGACCCTTTCTTGCGGCCGTCTTGGAGTCCCTCTGGGAGCCCTCTTGGGGGCGCATTGCGTCGGAATTGGGGGCCTGTTGAGCCATGTTGAGGCCGAAATGGGTATAGTTGGAATCGCACGCAACATGTTCCCCAGACATGTGCTTGTACTAAGGAGTTCTTACGGTGGAGAAGTGAACCGTGGAATCGGCCCCAAACTGGGAATCTTTTCGGGCGCAACTGAGAACGAGGCTGAAACGCGAAACCGGGAATTGGGGCCGAAATTGGGGATGCTGACGGGAATCGGACTTCCGTGGAACCCGGCGCTCGAAAAGGGCGAGGCCGGGAATGTTGCGGTTACGAGAGGAGGGAGGGAAGGGGAGGAGGACGAGGAGGAGGAGGAGGAGGAGGAGGAGGAGGAGGATCAAGGTTGGACAAGGAGGAGCGAGTGGAGGACGAGGAAGAGGGGGAGGCGCGGCCAGGCTTTCCTCCGTCGCTGGCCGACCCCCGGCGTCGTTGCGGTCTCGTGTGCGTGCCGCCGCCCAGGGAATCGGCCGTGCGGGTGCCCACGCGGCGCGATGATGACTCGCTGTCGTCGTCTGCGTCGTCCACGTTGTCGTCGTCGTCGTCGTCGTCGTCGTATGCAGGGTGCGCGGCGGGTTAAGAGCTCTTCCCGTTCAGTCTACGGCAGCCCCATCCTGTCCGGTGGGGGAACACAGTCAGTGCTGAAACATTGCTTTTTTTCTGCGCGAGCGCACTCTTTGAAATCCTAAGGTGTCCATCGGTGTTCAGCTGCCCTGTCAGATGACACCACGCGGGCCGCGCGCGCGTGTCAGAAGTCGTTCCAAGTCCATCAGATGTTTCAGTCATTACACACCCATGCGTTCAAGCCCATGCGCAAACAAAATTGCCTCCTAACACAACACATGCCTGGAAGTATGAACTTCTTCGAGCGCGCACTTGCTCATCGCCCTTCCCATCACAATATTTGTCATCATTACCGTCAACATCATTATCATCGCACTTGTCATCATCATTGTCAGCACCATCTTTGCCATCATTACCTTCAACCCCTTCGACGTCATCATCAAAACCGCCCCCGCCATTATTTTACTCGTCGATGTCGCTGCCATCGTCAAATGTCTGGGCGGCCGCTTCTTCATCGTCCTTACTTACCAGCACCATCGTTATCATCACCACCAGCGTCATCTTTTCCACCGTCATTCTCACCACCATCAGTTACATCACCATCGTCGTCGTCGGCACCGTCTCCACCGTCGTCATGAATCTCATCAATGTCATCGCTCATTCTTCATATGAACGCAAACCACCCCAGCCAGGCTGGGTACTGACCCCCCCCTCATCCCTGTCGGACAATACATCGCGCGCATTCGTTTGTCTCAACATCATTTCCTCCCAGCACATACCCAATTCATACCAAACACAAGGTCTGCAAGCGTTGCAACATGATAACATAAGCAACCCAATGGCGTTTCATCAAAATCGTTGCAGCTGTTCTGTCCGCGCGCACGTGCCGAAATCATGGTAATTCCGCACGGGTTTAGCACATTCGTCCAGAATTCGCATTCTCATCTCACCACGCGGTTCACCTGCGCTGATCCAGCATGCGCCCAGTGCTCGAGCCCGTACCCAAAAATACCATGCAGGCCAAATGCACGCGCCGCCACAGGCGCGAGTCGAAATATTCCCAAAACACTTGGCGTTGAACGAATTTCAAAGCAGAGCTCTGAAACAACGCGTTTGTCAACACAACGCGTGCCAGGTGTCTTGGATTTCTGCGTGCGCGCACTTCCTCGACATCACCCTTATCAACGCCATCGCATCACTGCCCTTACAGTCATTGTCCATCGCCGCCGGTGCCGCCATCATCAGCCAATCACCCTCATTGCGGACACCTGGACATCACCATCGTCGTCACCAGCATCGCCACCGTCATTGGCCTTGCCGCCGTCATTGTCATCATCGCCATCACCATGGCTCTTACCATCATCTTTGTCGCCGTTGTCGACGTCATCATGACACCGTGCCCGCCAGAGTCACCAGGCCGCACTGCAGTGCCCGTGCTCCAGCGCGGCCTCGGAGACGCGCTGAAAACTACCCATGGGCAAGCGCCATCGCGGCCGCATCAATTGTGCCAAGCCACCTTGCCGCTCTGTGCGCGTGCTTGCGCGCGCCAGCGCGGCCTCAGAGATGCGCCAGCCAGTGCCAAGCACATTGGCAATCGTGGCCGCATGGCTTGTGCAAAACAAGTTGAGGAAGGGAGGGTGGGATGATTACGCGAGCAGTGGAGTGGGCAGTCCATTAGTGGACACGAGGTGGTCGCATCACATGGACTGCACCACATCGCTTGCACCCCATAGTTTGCACAGCTGTTACTGTGTCCCAGCACCACATTCGCACAGCGTGCATGGCACCTCGTCAGCTGCACCATGTGCATTGCAACACATTGATTGGTTTCACCATGCACATACTGCACCACAAATAACAGCGAATATGGAGAATGCAAGAGCCCGTTGCTTCTGTGATCTGAAATTGGGCGCGATGCTTTACATCTTAACCGCATGCCCTGGATAATAAATCACCCTCCTTCCCCCCCTCAGAGTTTATTCTCTCCGGCCAAGACAGTAATACCACCATCAGTTATTTTACGTTTAGTAATACTGTTGTTCCTAATTTGTAGTATGTCTAAGACTACTAAAACTATTACTTCTACTACCACCACTACTACTACTACTACTACTACTACTACCACTACTACCACTACTACTACTACTACTACTACTACTAGTACTACTATCACTACTACTACTACTATTACTACTACTACTACTACTACTACTACTTCTGCCACTACTACTTCTAGTACTGCTACTACTACTACTACTACTACTACTTCTTCTACTACTACTACTACTACTACTACGACTACGACTACTACTACTACTACTACTACTACTACTACAACTACTACTACTACTACCACACTACTGCTACTACTACTACGACTACTACTACTACTACTACTACTCCTAGTGCTGTTCCTACGAATACTACTACTATTATTTCTACTACGATTATCACTACTACTACTACTACTACTACTGTCTACTAGCTCGGGTACTACTACTACTACTACTACTACTACTACTACTACTATTACTACTGTTACTACTGCTACTACTGCTGCTACTACTACCACTACTACGACTACTACTACTACTACTACGACTACTACTACTATTATTACTACTACTACTGCGACTACTCCGACTACCACTTTGTCTGCGGCGTTTATTTTTTTGGCAAATCATATGTTATTCCGACAGCTACCAGTATTACTACTGCCATTTCTACTACTACGACTCATCCTCCTACCACTACTACTACTACTACTATTGCTGCTTCTGCTATGACGACGCTTCTGCTACTACAACCACTACTACTACGATTGCTACGTCGACTGCTAGTCCTTGTGCTGCTACTAGTACTACTACTACTACTACCACTACTTCTAATACTACTACTACTTCTACTTATACTACTACTACGGCTACTACTACTACGACTACTACTACTACTACTACTATTACTACTACTATTACGGCGACTACTGCTGCTGTCACGATGAATACACAGTATACGATTTATTATTATTTCAATCATGATATTTATAATACTATTTCTACACTACCACGACTACGACTACTACTTCTATTTCTATGACCACGCGTACTACGGTTACTACGACTACGAGTGCGACGACCATTACGATTATTACTAGCAGGTTACGACTACAACGTTTTCTTCTCCAACGGCAGCAACATCAATTACTACTGTTATTACTCATACCACTACCACTACCACCACTGTACCATTACGGCTACCACTACTGTGCTACCACTACCACTACTTTTTTTTACGACTACGGATGCGATCACGGCTACAGCTACGATTGCGAGTACTACTTGTATCTATTACTCCTACTACGACTACTACGGCCACTGGTAGTAGTAGTAGTAGTAGTACTACTACTACTACTACTACGATGCCGACTACTACGACTAGTACAAATGCTCAACTCTTTTCTTTACCTGCTACAGCCACGACGACTACTACCACCACGACCTTCTACTACTACTACTACTACTACTACTACTACTACTACTACTACTACTACTACTACTACTACTACTACGACTATGACTACTACTACTAGCCGTGGGACTCCCGTGGGCCACTCTCTTGGCCATTTCTAATGACGACTCTCTCTCTCTCTCTGCCCTTTCTTTCTCTCCTACTCTCTCTCTCTCTCGCTCTCTCTCTCTCTCACTTTCTCTCTCTCCCTCTCTCTCGCTCTCTACCTCTCTCTCTCTACCACTACTGCTGTCCTTACTTGTACGATCGCTACAATCACAACTGCGACTACTACTGTTACTACTGTTACTACTACGACGGCGACGACGACGACGACGACGACTACTACTACTACTACTACTACTACTACTATTACTACTACTATTACTACTACCACCACTTCTACTACCACTACTACGGCTACTACTACTACTACTACTACCACTACTACTACTACTACCTACTACTACTACTACTACTACTACTACTACTACTACTACTACTACTACTACTACTACTACTACTAGTACTAACTACTACTACTACTACCTACTACTACTACTACTACTACTACTATTACTACTACTACGCCTACTACTACTACTACTACTACTACTATCGCCACGACATATATATATATATATATACACTACTACTACTACTACTACTACTACTACTATTACTACTACTACTACTACTAGTACTACTACTACTACCACTACGACTACTAGTACTATTACTACTACTACTACTATTACTACTACTACTACTACGACTACTACTACGACTACTATTCCTACTACTACGCCTACTACCACTACTACTACCACTACTACGATTGCTTCTACGGCTGCGACTACTACTGCTACGACGACGACGACGACTACTACTACTACTACTACTACTGGTACTACTACTACTACGACTACTACGACTACTACGACTACTACTACTACTACTACTACGTCTACTGCCACTACTACTACCACTACTACGATTGCTTCTACGGCTGCGACTACTACTGCTACGACGACGACTACTACTACTACTACTACTACTGCTACTACTACTACTACTACTACTACTACTACTACTACTACTACTAGTACTACTACTACTACTACTACTACTACTACTACTGCTACTACTACTACTACTACTACTAGTACTACTACTACTACGTGCACGACTACTACTATTGGTACAACCGCAGCTCCATTACTACTATTAGTACTACGACTACGACTTCTACTATTACTTCTGCCTCTACTGTAACTACTACTACCACTTTTTGTACTAGCCCTACTACTACTACTCCCCTCTTGCCCATTAGTCCCCCCCCCCCCTCAATTGTTTACCCAGGGCGATTCTTATCACCGCACACGGGCCACCATGAGCTCCTACGCATGCGGTGTAGAAAACGGCTAACATTACGAGGGGGTGCACATACACCAAAGCAATGTCCCGAATCATATTCTTGTCTGGGAAAACTTGTCCTGGGACCTCTATCCTCTCCCACCCCTCCTTCTCTCCTCTCCTTCGCTCTCCTGTCCCCTTCCTCCTTGTGATATGTATGGCAGGACTACGTCGTCGTCGTTGTCGTTTTCGTCTTCGTGCGACGACGACGACCTCCCCTTTCCTCGTCATGCATCTCACGCGCGACTTGCTGGGACAAATCGTTTATCATCCTCCCTGGACCTCGAACTGTGTTATCCTCCAGGTGTTGTTTTCAGGGGCACAGGGTTATCCCACGGGCCACGAACTGCCCGATGGACTGCCAAGATGATTTCAGACTGAGCTTTTGGGAAGCACATCAAGTTAAAAAGCGGTCCGCCAGAAATGCCAGATAGAAATTTCTCTGCTTTTGATAGCCACAGTTGGGTTTTAATTTACCGAGGAAGCATGTGGTCCACGATTTGTTTTTGCCAGGTCTCCTATCGGATTGTCCACTTTGTCTAAGGGGGTGTTAAAAGTGTAGGTTCCCATACGCGCTCCCGTAGTTTTCGGGAAAAGTCGCATGGCGGCACCCGGAATAGCTCGAAGGCGCTCCGCAGCGCGCGCCAGACGGTCCGTGGGCGAGGGGCCAGGGGACTTTAGAGAGCAATGCTGGGGACGATAGATGGCTTAAGGACATCCCGCGTGCAGCCAAGCTTGATCATGAGGACTTGTACCTTTCCCAGGGTGCCCTTTGCGTCCTTGCCTCTTCGGCCCGCCCTTGGCCGCTTTCACTGGTTAGCATTATTAAGTCGGGCACGTCCTTCTACAGGCGGAATATGCAAGAATAGGCAAGACATGGTCTTTGGACGATTGTTTGAGCATTTCTTTGCAAGTTTGGCGTATGTTTTGACTATTGATTTTTGTTCGCCAAAAATCCCCTTGTAGGAGGACAGGCCCGACTGAAGGTTAGCCTCTCAGGGTACTTCTGCGCCCTTGGCCTGTGGGCCCCGCGCCGTGTGAGGCCCCTGCGTCCTCACCGCGCATGCTTATGATCAAGTTTCACTGCACGCGCCTGGTGGCACGGCGGCGGCTTGTCACGTGCGCGTAGGCCCGCTGGACGGAAAGTACCGCCATAACCGCGTACTGGCGTTTTCGGGGAAAAAAAAAAACGCCCAAGTACAACGACCAGAGGATGGCGCAAGAGCGCCCCCCGCGCCCCAAATTTCAATGTTCATCTAAGGGAGCAGGCCGCGGTTTGAAAGTGTGGGCGTTTTTTTCGAAACGACTCGCACTCCCCCGCGTCGACCGCCCCGAACTTTGAAATTGGGGCCAGGGTGGACCCGCTTCAATACGCATTCGAGAAACCACGGTGCCCCCTGGATAATAAAGCATACCCTTTCTCTTAAACTTTGTATCTATCGTTATCCATGGGGTCTGAGTGTGGACCGATTGCCACAGTAGGTGGGGACGCCGAATTGTATTATCCCCTCCAACGTTCCTATCGTAGCTCTGATCTTCATCTCTTGCATAGCACCCTGAATAATCAGTATTGCCATTGTTGTTGAGGATGTCTCAGGCGAGACGCACAGTCTCGAAGATTAGCCGAGTTCGCTACTATCAGTTGTTCGGTGAGTTTTCACGGACAACGCTGGTTGTGGTAAAAGGCATTGTCGCGAACATGGCATTGTTGTAAGGATGTCTCAGGCGAAGCTCACATGCTCGTAGATTCGCTGAGTTCGCGACGATCGGTGTTCCGATGATGTCTCAAGAAAACACACGTTCTCGTCAAAGGCAACTGTCGCGAACATGTCGTTTGTGTGAGGATGTGCCAGGATAATCGCACGTGATCGAGGAGTTGCCGAGTTCGCGACTACCGATCAGCTTCTCGAGGATGTCTCAAACAAAACGCTTGATTGTCCCCCTCCCCTCCCCTTCCTCCATCCCTGCTGCTCTTCGAGGCTAAAGCGGTTTTCGACCCCAAGCGGTTGAAGACCTATCCAGACATCCTAACATCGATATCTCCAGGAAACAATGTTTATCCTGCCTGGACCCCGATTTTTATTATCTCCAGGGGATAATTCTCACCAGCATATGGTTACCACTTTCCCGAGTAATTTTCTGTTTGGCCGTTACGGAGAATTGGCAGATAGGAGGTGGAGGATGAGGAAGTGAACGCCATGCGAAATCCAATCTAGTTTTTGAGTATCGTGGCGAATTCAGACAGGAAGTTTTTGACATCGCAGCGAGATTTGGCGAGCGTTGGGTCAGCCGCGACGGTACGCCAAGGTGGTCATATTCCGCGAGGGCGCCGACAAGGGTTACCAGTTCTTGCCGCAAGCGGAGCAGGCCAGGGTTATGTCTCATGTGTGTTGTCGATCTCGTTCGGATGTTGGAGGGTGAGGGGCAGGAGGAGAAGGAGAAGGAGATGTGTTAGGATGATGAGCAGGAGGAGCGGGCACCTGACACCTGCGAGCCCAGCCTTGCCACCCGGCTCGAGAAGCCTCGTCGTTTTGTCTTCGCTGAGGCGTGGAGCGGGTGGCTCGGTTCGACCACTTACATGTTTGGCACTGGTGTCATCGATCTGCACATGCCGGTCATTGAAAGTAGGTATTCTTGGATTCCCAGGTCCCAATCTATTCCAAGAGCCTTCCCAATCCAAGAATCGATACGGTTTCGCTGCGTATGGTTGTTCTCTGGAGGGGCCTGAACCCAATCTACTTTGTCCGCCTTCCCACTTCATGTGCTTCTTCGGACCGACGTGCACGCATCCGAAGGACTGCTGCAGAGGCCCGCACTCCACCGCCGAGAGAGCCCGTCGGCGCGCAGGCATGTTGGGTCCCCTGGCGGAGGCGCGTGCAGAGCAGCCGCAGCTCTGGATGGGGGCGGGAGGCAGGCGTGCAGCAGAGGTCGGGGCGGCGGCCAAGAGGGGGGCGATGGCTCGCGGGCGGGGCGGATACCACAGCGGGGGCGACGATGTCTCCCCAGATTTCAGTGCGCCCCCGCCCCGCCCCCTCCCCCCCCTGCCTGGGCCGCGCACATGCCGCTGGGCTTAAGTCGGGCCTTCCCTGGGGTCCTGTGGGTCAGGCGATCGCAAACGTGTATCGGGCGTTGATTAGCGACGGGCCCCGTTTCCAAGGGAAGTCGCGGATTTCCGCCGCCGAACGAGGCGGCACCGGCCGCGTTTTGGGGAGGGCACCTCCCTCGATCCATGGATTTGGCGACCGCGCGCCGAATACATGGATCGCTATTCCACGTTTGCGCGCTCCCGATTCCTTCTTCCGTCTTGACCTTCCTCGGGGTCCTTTGGGGCAGTCCTGGGACTATCTTTGGCCACTCCGTGCCGTCGGGGGGCCGTCGTGGGCAGGCTCGGGGCTCGCGTGTGCCGCCGCAGTGGGCTCACCCTTCAGGCGGTCTGGGCTGTCTCTTGCGTCCACCGTGGAGCCGCCTTTGGGCCGTCTAGGGTCTGGGGGGCCCTCCTGGTCTGTCTTAAGGTTGCATTCGAGGATCAGGTTCGCCATCTTGGGCTGCCTAGGAGGCATAGTGGAACATCCTCGCGGCCTTGATGTTTCCCGCAGCCGCCTTGGAAGCTCAGGAGCGTGGATGCATTGTGCTTTACAAAGGGTCGTGGTCTCGGGAGCGCAGACACATGTTTTATCACACGGAGACGGGGCGTAGGTACATTGTTAGCACCACCAGCCGCCGCACTCTCCCCTCCCCCCGGCCTACAAGCCTCGTCAAAAATAAACAGATGACTTCTGAATTCGGTGATTGTGGGGTCAGTGCTACTCCAATGCTGACGGATGCCTGTTGACTCGGACGCGGCGTTGTCCAAAACCCGACCCCACTCTCTCAGCATTGAAGAACGCGCTTTCTGACAAGTGCCCGAAAGCATCGTGCTCCAGGATTTCACTCTCCATTTCTGGATCTTGTTGAGGAGGCTTGTAGTTCCTTTTTTGAGAGCCCAAGTGGGGGGTCGCTCCAGCTACGAGTTTCCAGCAACCCACGCCGAAAACAAAAGTGTGCTCCAGCACGGTATGTTTACCGAGCGCGAGCGCTCCAGCAGTCCATGCGGAAAACATGGGTGCGCTCCAGCGCAGGATTTTTGCCGAGCGCGAGCGCTCAGCAACCCACGGCGTACGCTCCAGCACTCGGTGTCTTCCGAAAGCGAGCTTTTTTTGTTGAGCTCCACGCGCAGCGCCTCCAAAGCCTGTCAACCGGCGCCCACACTAGCAACGGCGGGAGGTGCCAGCGCCTATAAACGGGAAGCTTGGTTTGCTCCACCGCGAAGTGGGAGCCTGACCACCAGGGCCCCCCGACCGAGAAATGGACCTTCAGGAGCCCGCCGAAAACGGACACCATCCGCAGCAGGGGCGGGAGGGGCGGTGCCCGAGCGCGACGCGCACAGGCCCCTACCGCCCCCCCTGGCCGCCCCCAGCGGCCGCCGGCCGCAACCCAGGCCGCCGCCGGTGCATCTCCAGCAGCTCCTCGGTGGGCGTGGCCACGGGGACCCCCGAGGAAGCGCGCTAGCAGGACGTGCTCCTGGGCGGCGACGGCGGCGACCCTCGAAGCAGCGGCCACACCGCCAGCCGCAGAAGCCGCCGCCGCAGGCCCGGCCTCCGCAGGCGGCACGCCGCCAGCTGCAGCCGAGCCTCCGGCAGCAGGAGGTCCGCGATGCAGGCCGTCGGCCCAGGCGTCGTCGAAGGGAGGCCGGCGGCCGTCGTGGGCGCCACAGCGTCCTCGGCCGCCGCCAGCTCGCCACCGCCCGCCTCGGCCTTCGCAGCCCTGCGCGCCGCCGCCCTGCGCAGGCGGCGGCGCATGCGCCGCGAAGCCAGTGCCGCCGAGGCGGCGACGGAGCGCGGCGGGTCGCCGCCAGCTGCCGCAGCAGCGCCCTCGCTGGCGGGCCGCGCTGGCCGCCTCGGCGGTCGCGAGGAGCGGCGCCGAAGCGGCCGAGCGCGCCACTGGCTGCCACGGTGCGCTGCGGCGCGCCGGCGAGCACGGCGCCGCGGACCGCGGCCTCGACGACGGCGGCAGCGCATGGCGACATGGAGTTCCTCTAGGCTTAAAACGAATGTACTACGGAGATGTGCTGGTATGTTGGGTAATTCCCATGTGTCCGTAAAATAAGTTACGGAAATAGGTAAACACCAACATCTATTCGACATACGTAAGTTCCATGACATGATGTTGTAATGTGTAAGCGCTCAAGCGCAAGCGATGTATGCGGCACGCAGCGAGTGCCTTGCCGGGAAATCCGATTGTCGTGGCAGCCCAGGGCGATCATGCGTCCTGCAGCGGCGCGCGCCTAGAGTCTGGGGTCTAGGCCACGCCGCCCGCCGAAGGGAGGCGCGGCCGTGCGGCCGCTCGTCGTCGCCGACGCCACCGATATCGCCGCTATCGCCGCTATCGCCATCGCCATCGTCGTCGTCCCCGCCGTTGCCGTCGTCGTCGGCTTTGCCGGCGCCTTCGTCGGTCGTCGACCTCGTCGCGGTCGCCGTCGCTCGCCACCGTCACCGTCGACGTCGCCGCCGCCGTTGGCGTCCTCGTCGTTGCCGCTGCCGTCGCCGTCACTGCGGTTGGCCACAATTCTCATTTGCGAAATTGTCTACTTGTCATCTGCCCCCACAGGCTTTCTACGGCCGCTGCTGCTCATGAGAATGACGAGCTGAAGTTTTCAATGGCGCCCATGCGTCGAATCAGGAAACCACCATAAACATAACTTTTCGGATGTTCGCGGGGATTGATTCGGTCGATGATGTACCGTCCCAACGGCGCCTCCGGTTCCATCCCCGTTCCAAGAGATCCACACAGACCTCTGAAAGTTTGCTTCGTCGACCTACCCCTTGCCAGTTTGGGCCAGCCTCTAGGAAGTGCCCCCGAGGCGGCTTGCAATTTGGACGCCTGAGAGTATGTGCATCCGTGCTTTGCCTTCTCTTGATGTGCGGCGACTGTGATGTTCGCCTTTGGGTGTGCGCAACGGGTAGGCAAGGGGCAACGTTAGGGGGGATAGGCCTATGGGGGGACACATCGACCCCCACTCGCCTATTGATAACCGATAGGTGCCTGATAGCCCACCCCGCCCAGGAGTTGGCGGTTTCCCCTTGAGGGGGGGTCTGTCGCCGATCTGTTAGCGATGTGCCGCCGATTCCAGGTCGATGCTTTCACCCGTGTGACGGTCCCACCTGCCGTTTCCCTTGAGGGCATCGCGAGTGAGTGAGAGCAATCGAGCCGCCCCTTGAATTCCATGTCTCAGGCGACGAAAGATAATAATAGCCATAAACATATCATGAGAAGAAGAACAATCATAATACAAACTGAGAAGGATAAGAAGACGAGCGAAGACAGTGCGACACCGTTGCACTGAGCTCGCCCCTTCCTCCCGCACTGCGCGCCCGAAGCTGCTGGCGGGAACGCGGAAGAGGGGGTCCTGCTGGGCGCTGACGGCGCGACACGAACAAGTGTCCCCTTGGGGGGAGGGGGGGAAGTCGGCGGCACGCTGCTGCTCCGGGCTCCACCGCGGAGCACTTCTTTGCCCACACCGCTCGTGTGCCCCCTGGCGCCTCTTCGCGCGCCTGCAGGAGCAGCCGCACCACTGAGCGGAGTCCAAGGGGCCCCGAACGATACTCCCAGATCAGGCGTGCATTCGCAGGGGGCGATCAATGGGGGGGGGTGGCAGGCGTGCACCGTTCGTGCCCCTCTCGGGCCCCAGGAGGGCCCCTTTGGGGCTCCTTTGGGGCGCAAGAGGTGCACGCGTCTCCCCCCCCCCCGCTATCGCCCCCCAGTGTTGATCGCCTGGCCAAGCCCTCGACGTCGTGGTATGGTCACCGCGTGGGCCCCCGGAGCTCTCGACCTCCTCCAGAGTAAGTCTGTCCTTCCCTCGTGCGTATGGCGCAGGTCGTTCTCAGATGGCCCCGGCCTGGCGAGGCCCCCACAGAGGCCGAACAGCTTCCAGACTGCACGTCGTGTTTTTTTGTTTTCCGCGGCGCGAGTGGATTTGGGTCCACCCTCTCAGGGTCAAGTTCGATCTGATCGATTCGATTCGATATCGATTCTGACCGGCTCGATCCGATTCGATTCCGATGTTTCCAGGATCCGACGGGGCATTGTGCTTGCATGGCGCTGGTATGCATCCTGGCCAGCCGATCCGATTTGATTATGATTATGTGCTGATGCATTCCGATCCGACGCCCACTCCGATTATATCCGGTGTTCCGATTCGATGCCACTGATTCCCACGAGTTCTCAGATTCTCAGATGCTCCAACTCTCATGATCCGATTCGATCCGGTTCGTCGATGTCCCGATGTTATGCTCACCAGTTATCCGATGTCTGTTTTTGTTCCTCCTCCTCCTCCTCCACGTCTCCAAGACGTCTTCTGTTGGTTTCAATATATATATATATATATATATATATATATCGACAGCCTCACCTCGTTTCAATGCCATCGTGTGGCTCGGGCTCGAGTTTCTTACGCCTTTGTCATTCACAGCTTCGTAGTACTGTTTCCAGCTGTGCCGTCAGGACTGCTTCAAAGAGAGAAGAAGATCCGAACAAAAAAATCTCCAAGGCGTGCTGCACGGTCCTGGTCACCGGCCGCTTCGCGGAGCGGCCGCTCATGGCGCCGAACGGCGAGCGGTTCGCCAAGGACGGGCGGCCCGGAGGTGCGCGCTGGCCGCCGCCAGGGTTGCCACGGGTCGGACCCCTCCCGGTGCTTCTCCTTCTGCGCCTTCCTCCTCTCCGCCCTCCTCGTGCCCCTCCACCATTCGATATCTTCCTCCTATCCTCCTCCATCACCCTCCCTCCTCCATTCCTGCCGTCCCTCCTCTGCCCTTCTCTTTCCCTTCTCAGGTCCCCCTTCCTGTTTCTCCTCTTGCTCCAACTCCTTGACACGTCTTCTCAGATTTCTTCTGCTGCACCTCCTCTCGTCATCCCCATCCTCAGCCTCATCCTCGTCCTACTTCCCTCCCATCTCGTACTTCCTTCTGATCCTCCACTGCATCCTACGTGCCCTCTGATCCCTCCCACTTCCTCTACACTCTACACCTCTCCTCCTCCTCCTCCTCCTCCTCCTCCTCCTCCTCCTCCTCCTCCTCCTCCTCCTGCGTTACATCCCCACTCCCTCCTCCTCCCTCTCCTCCGTGCCCATCCCCCCCCCAAATTATCCCTCCCCCTCAAGTGGCGCAGCCGAGGCGCCCCCGCCGCTCCAGGCCCCAGCGAGGCCCTCTGGCTGCCTTCCCCGTCGGCCCCTCGGCGGCCCTCGACGGCCTCCGCGCGGGGATCCATCGGGCGCAGTTTTCGACGGGGTCGTGGCCCCCCGGCAGCCCTCCGGCGGCCCCTCGGAGCTCGGCGGCCCCTCGGAGGCCCTCGGGGGCCCTCGGCGGCCCGTACGAGCTCGGGCGCCGGACGGGTTCAGAAGGCGACTCTGGGGAACGTCGGCTGGGTGCTGATGGGGGTGGCCCAAATGGGGGGTGCAGAAAAGGGCCCCTTTCGGGCCATGGTGATGGAAGCGGTGATGCTGATGATGGTGATGTTGGTGGTGATAATGGTCATGATGATGGTATGATGGTGGTGGTGATGATGATTGTGATGATGGCTGTGGTGATGCTGATGCTGATGGTCATGATCACGGTGAGTATGATGGTGATCATGGTGATGATGAGGATGAGGAGGAGCAGGATGACGATGATGATGATGATGATGACGATGACGATGATCATGATGATGATGATGATGATGATGATGATGACGACGACGACGACGATGATGATGATGATGATGATGATGATGATGATGATGATGATGATGATGATGATGATGATGATGATGATGATGATGATGATGATGATGATGATGATGATGATGATGATGATGATGATGATGATGATGATGATGGTGGTGGTGGTGGTGGTGGTGGTGGTGGTCGTGGTGGTGGTGATGATGATTATTGCTTTCATCATGATGATGTGGGTGACGATGAGGAGGGAGAGGGGGCGGAAGGGGAGGGAAGGGTTTCGAGGAGACTGGCAGGTTGGAGGAAGAGGAGAAAAGGAGAAAGAGGAGGTGAAGGAGTGGGTGGAGGCGGGATGGAGGAGATGGGAGGAGCGGAAGCGAGAGGAAGGTGCTTTAGAAGCTCGAAGCACAGAAGCTCTCGCCCCGTGATTCCTCTCGGGGGAACAGGCGGTGCAGGTTGTGGACTTTTATGCGCGGTTGCGCGGACGACCTAAGCCTGTAGCTGATATGGAGGCTAATGATGGGAATGAGGATGGCGAGGAGCTTCATTCCCCCCCACGGGAAGGAAGAAGATGCAATGGCCTACGTGGACCGGTTGCAGACCATCGGCTTGTCCGCTAGTGCCCTCGCCGCCGCCGCCGGGTTCGGCAGTGGTGGAGACGTCGCCAAAGGCAAGCCATTCTTGGTGATCGCGGCGCAGGAGTCTCGGAACACAAAGGGAGACGCAGACAAATTTGTGTGTTGGTCGTGCAGTCGAGCATGTATCCAGTTGCCGCGGCAACGACAGGCTCCGCCCAGTTTCAGCCACGTACACAGGGACAATGTCAGACCGCTCGGCCACCATGCTTTGATTATGTTTCTGCTATCCTTTAGCCGCCCAGGGGCTCACGGACCACGCCGACCCCCAGCCCCGGGACAGCATCGCCAAGTTGTTGCAGACGTGGCGCCGCCTGTACGCGAACATGTTCGAAGCCGTGGTGGTGGCCTGCGGGAGCGTGGAAACAGCTGCCAAGCTGGACATGGAGATCAACTCGGAGGTGTACGCGAGCGCGGTGGATGGAGTCCTGACGAAGGGATCGTTCGCCTGGAGGCCGAAACTCTGCGCACTGTCCGTCAATCCCACCATGTACAACCTGGCAAAGCAGATAAGCGGCGGAAAGGTTGCCCCGTCCGCCCAGGCCGAGCCGATGCGCCCGTGCTCTTCCCAGACATCCGACGTATTGCTTTTTCTGGCACGGGGCCCCCAGAAGTGCTGACCCTTTCCCCAGGGCCAGCTTCTTTCCCCTAGTCGTTTTTTGATGGTCCCGGGGCCCGGCAAGGGCCCACAGTTGCCGAAAACGGCAAAATCTAACCGTCGCGATTCTGTTCAGGACGCGAGAACGTCTGGGGAAGCACCCTTGCTTGTTTTCCTGCTTCGGCCACGGCGACCTCCCTCGGCCTCTCGGCTCGCTCACGCGACCCACGCCCGTCGGCACCATTCGGGATTGGGACCTTGGTTCTGCGCAGCCTTTGGCTGTATTGCTCCTCAGCAGCTGCAGCAGCTTGGTTATGCGCGTATCGAGTCCGTCGCTGGCAATCGGAAGGACTTCCTGGACGGAGTGTCCCGAGGCCTATGGCCCAGAGTTCGCAGTAAAGCCGAGTTGGCCAGCAGGTAGCAACGGGATCTTTTGCTTATCTGGCCTGTAGCGACACCGTCGCTATGCACATGTCATACATCTGAAAGACGCGTCAAAGTTCATAGGCTCAAGACTTCCCTTAAGAAAATCAAGAATCTGAGCTGGGCCCTAGGAGTTTTCTTGGAGCTGTGTTTGCCGTAGAACTGTCGTATCTCTGGATCTGGACTGCTGTTTCACTAGCCGCTTGGAGTGAAGGCCGCTGCCTTGGCACAGAAATTCTCTCAACTCTGAGCAGAGGTGCGCACACGAACCCCCGAACTCCCCCATCCCCCCCCCGCCCCGGCCCCCGCCTGTCTGCCCACGTCGGCAGGGCCCGCTCCTCCGCCCCACCCACCCCGGCGAGGGAAAGAGGCCGAGCATCGTGTACGACCACCACCTCAGCAGCGCCGGCCAGGATGCAGAGGCCCGGAGGGCGGGCCTGGCGGGAACCGTCTTGGGCCAGGCACCTGCCAAGAGACACCCTGCTTGCCTGCAGGGTGCCCTGGGTTTCCTGGGTTTCGATGGTCTTGCTATGGAGAGGGTAGCGTTCCCACACCAAGGAATCAATGGACGTCCTGGGGTCTCAGGGTTGGGTTTTTCGTGGACGGCTTCTTGTGGACTGGCCTCCACTGTATAGACTTCCAGATCTCGGCCAGGAGGGCCTGTGCACCACTTCGGTGGCAAGTCATGGGGGCCTTGCGTACCCTCGCAATTCCGCCTTTAGCGTCGACTAGCGTCTGGAGTCGATGAGATAGCGCCAATCTAGGATCGGCTAGCGCCGGTTAGCGTCGATTTAGCGTCGATTCGCGCCAATTTGGCGCCGATATGTGTCGATTCGCAAGAGCCGACAAGATGGTATGGGAGGCTCCCATGAGTTGGCACCGAACACCAGCCCAGGGCCCAGGAGGGGCTTGGCCAGGGCTGGTGGTGGTGTATTGCTAAGAGTCTTTTTAGATTCGGCCTGGGAGTCTGATGAGGCCCAGCGCGGGTTCCGCCGAGTGGGAAGCGGGGGCGAGGTTCGAGGTGTTTCTGGGCTCGAGGAGGCTTCATGTCTTTTTCGGCCCCCGGGAGCCATTGTCGTGCCCCGGGACCGTCAAAAAAACGGATCTGGGGCGAAGAACTACACCACATGGACCCCGGGGGGGGTCCAGGAACCGATTCTGAAACGGATTTTGCTTCATCCCTGCGGAGCAATCGCGGCGGGTTTTCTTGCAGTTCTCGGCTTCCGGGGGGACCGTCAAACAACGACTCGGGATGCAAAGCGGGCCCTGTGGAATGGGTCGGGACCTGCGTTTAGAGCGACACCCAACGAAGGCAACGCTGGGGGTGGGCTGCTGAGGGGGACCCCCCCTCCTCGCCCACGACAGGGGGGAGGGGGGGAAGGTGCACCCCCGCATACGAAAGGGGGGGGGGGAAGGAGGTTCACCCCACCTCCCACACGCACACACGAAAGGGGGGGGCAAGGGGGTGCACCCCGCCCCCCTTTTTATTATTCTCATCTCGGCACGGGAAAGAAGAGGCGACAGGTTGTTGTTCTCCTCTCTTCTTGAGGATGGGGTGTTCCGCCTCGACAAACAGATCGGTGGACGCACCCACTGAAAACGACGCCGGGGGGGCGGAAAAGGAGGACCCCCCCCTCCCGCCCTCCCACGACAGGGGGGGGCAATGGGGTGCACCCTCCACTTTCTTCCCTTCGATAAAGCGATGGCCAACGAAAACGATGCCTAAGAGTTGGGCGGCAAAGGGGGAGCCCCAACCCCTCCCCGCACACGACGCGAGAAAGGGGGAGGTGACAGGGTGTGCTTCGCCTCCCTTCCCGGTTGACAGTCGACCCTGGAAATCGTCTCCAGGCGAAGCCCGGAATTCCTTGCGGCCGCGAAACCCATAATTTCACACCGTGAATTCCAGAATCAGAGATACAAGCGAGTCGAGGCTTCTCCATCTAGTCGAGAGTTTCAGTGGATCTGTCTGTCGACGCGCTTCGAGTTGATTATGGGAGTTCTGCCGATGGTGCAACATCGTGTGGTTGGTCGCCGTCAGCCTTTCCCATCGGACAGGGCAGGAGAGTGCTACATCGCTGGCGCCACCGACAACTGGGAGTTTGAAGACTACCAGCGGGACGCCCGCCAGAGGGCTCACATCCTCGTCGCCGACGTGGTCAACGGGTCAGAGGCGGCGGCGGAGTTCAGCGGTCAGGTGAGAGACGGAGCGGTGACCTTCACCTCGTGCCATTCGGAGTGGATCCGATTGGGTTGAGAACGCTCATGAGCACAGTCCTTTGAAGGAGCCGCTGTCGCTGGCTAGCACGACGGACCAGCTAGATGTGACGGATCTGGTGTGCATTGATCTTGTGTTGTGGTGGAAGATGGGTGTGGAACACATATCCAAGATGCAGAAGGAGCGCGCCGGCATTTTGGAAGCAAGGACGTTCTTGCCGTGCGGAAGCCAGCAAGTGGAGTGTGGAGGACTTGCGTGATGACGATCGAGGCCCAGGTCGTGGCGGAGGTCGCGGCCAAGATCGCGGAGGCAAAGGTGAGGATGATGAACGCCCCCAGGGAGTGGCGGGGTATAAGTGACCCTCACCGTGTGTTGGTGCCGTTCGGAGCCTAGGCCTGTAGCTCAGTGGACCAGGCGTCGAAGTGCATCACCTTCTTCCTGAAGTTTAGCGCCGACGACGATGACTCCAGGCCGTCGTGCGCCAGGGGGTGGCAAGCATGGGGATCCGTTTCCGCTTCCTGAACCCACATTTTTGAAGTTTTCTGGAGTTGAGCGGCAGGGGCGAATTTTAGAGGCCACTCGAGCGCTGAACTACCTCGCCGCCGCACGTACTGGCGATCTGGAGAGGGCACATGCCCACACCGGCGTTGTTGGCAAAACTCGTCGGGACTGTCTCGATCACATCAGGGAGGTGATGGGCAAGTATGGCGACAAGCCGAAGGACCTGGACGGGGAGATGTCGTTACGGCAGCTGCTCAACAACAGGTCACTTTACGGACAGCTACCGCAACACATGGCGAGCTACTCGTGCGACAAGCGGAGGGCCCTGAAGGGCGATGTGCAGCCTAAGGACGCAGTGGAGTTGTTGCCACCTGTGGCGGCCGGGCTTCTGAAGCATAGTGAGCGGCACATCGAGCGGAGTACGGAGGACACCGAGAGTTTGCGTGACGAGGGCGAGCTGAGCACACCGCACTGGGACCCCACTCTACGTCGGGACGCCCGGGCGTGGGCTCACTTAGTGAGGGCGCTATATCGTGCAAGACTCTGCTCGGCGAGGAGAAATGTCAAGGCCCGAGTAGGGATATGTTCCGTTCAAGAGAAGGACGGCAACATCATATTGATATGCGACTCGAGGGTTCCCAACGCCCTTCACCGTAGGCCGCCAAAGGCCAAGCTAGGCGGCGTCGACGCCCTCGCCGAGCTGAACCTTACGGGCATGTACGACGGCGAGACGGACATCGGGAGCCTGGACCTCGATGCAGGCACGATCGACGTGAAGAATGCCTTCCAGCACTCGGTGAAGGAGGCGGCCAGCTGGTTCGGGCTCGGACACAAGATCAGGGCCAAGGAGTGGGGCGTGAAGAAGGTGTGGGGCGACGACCTGAAGTACTGGCGCCGTCGATGCCGAGGAGGAGCTCGAGGTGGTCTTCGAGGCGATGTGCATGGGAGGGACCTTGGCCCTCTACCTCTGCAGCGAAGGGGCGGAGAGCTGTATCGCGGAGGCAGGGGTGTCGGCCATGAGAGACCGAGCCTCCTTGCCACCCGCCGTGGGCCCTAGTTGCCTGGGTGCTGCCTGCGTGGACAACGTGACGGTGGTCACGGCCAAGCCTCCAGGGTCCTCGGCTTGCCGGGCGGCGCTGCAGGGCGTCGCGGAGTCGAGGTGCCTTTCGCTGCAGCCACCCGAGGTCGGGAAGGTCGCGGAGTCGCCCGGACTCGTCCTGGATTTGGAGAGTCGGGAGGTCCTGCGCACCCCCGAGAGGCACTTCGACGCCGACGCCATGTGCGCAGCGGCGATCTGGAGGTCTGGTTCGTCCACGCGATCAACATGATTGGGTTGCGGCGGCCGCTGATGTCTATTTTCCAGGAGGCGCATCGCCGCCTCGACTTTCGACGTGAACGACGGGCTCAGATCGGCTACGTCCTCTGGCGGGAGACGTGGGCCGTGCAGAGCCAGGTCTTCTTTTCCTACGCGGGTCTGGACACGCCAGTTTCCAAATGGGTGCACGTTCCCGACATCTCCACTCAGGGGCGCGGCCTGCTGCGCCAGGTGGTGGCGGCGCCCGTCATTTGCAAGGAGATGAGGTGCCGGGAGAGGTGGCGTTCCATGGAGATCGAGCCCCAGCCCGAGCGCCATTTCATCAGCACGGGCGTCGCGCGGGATCTCGTTTGGGGCTGGGCAGAAGCCGGCGACTATCAGGGCGACGAGCAGGTGTTCGCCGACCCGGGTGCGGTGCCAGACCGTCGGGCGGCCTGCTGGCGCGGGCGCAGCCTGCGCCCGCGGAGCTCGAGAGGCGGCAAGCGCAGGCAAGGCGCCGCGCAATCGCAGGGCGCGCCGGCGCAACGGCGTGGAGGCGGAGGCGCCTGCTGCGACCCCGCCGGTCTCCAAGTGCTGGGCGGATCGATCGGCATGGACTCTGGTTGCGCGCGGGCTGCGCGCCTGGCCGAAGGAGCGCGCCATCGCGAAGGGGGCGCGCGTCGCTTTGGGCGGCGCGCGCCGGCGCGCTCGAAGCCGACGCCTGCGATGACGTCGAGACCTCACCTCGTTGACGATATGGCGACGCGCTGCTTCTTCGACAAGGGCCGGGGGCGATCCTGGGCCAACGCAGTGCGCCGTCGGCTGCGCGCTTGCCAGCTGGCGGCCGATTTTCGCCCGAGGTGGAGTCGCGTCGACAGCGAGTGCTGCGCCGCCGGCGGGGGCCCCCGCAGGCAGCCGGCGCTTGTGGCGGCGCCGCCCGAGATGGCCGAGGGCCCCGTCTCAGCTCCTCTCTTGCCGAGAGGGCGGTTGGAGCTGGAGACGGCCGTCGAGAGCGCTCGCCGGCCAGCGTCGCGAGCTGGCGCTGCTTGGGCATGCTGTTCAGACTGGGTGGTCTTGGAGCTGTTTGCTGGGGCCGCTGGCATCGCGGCAGCCTGTCGGCGTCGGGGCCCGCGCGCAAGCCCGCCCTTCGAGTTGCCGCTTGGGGCCACATTCGACAAGAGCAGTAAAGCGATACAGAAATCCGTTTAGATAATGATTAGAGAAAGATAGATTCAACGCGTTGACCTGGAGGCCCCATTGCTAGGAATCGCATCCGAAACTGGGCAAGGGCGAGAGTTCGGGAACGTTTGGGAGTGGGATTCGCCCTATTCAGTGCTGGGGTGGTTCGTGACTTCGTGAATGTGCGCGGTGCGGGGCTGCCTTTCGCTTGGAGGATCCTCGATCGAGCGGGCTGTGGCAGTTTCCTCCGCTCGCTGGGCTCCCGGGGCCCCCGAAGGCCCACCTCGTCATGTTTGACATGTGCGTGCGCACGACAGACCGCAATAAGCCTACGTACATCATGACAAAAACCAGGCACGTCGATCAGACATCGGTTGTTCGTGATAAACACGCTCATGCGCCGCTGGCGTCGGCTACACGTAAGAGTGACCCTTGGCCAGCGTGACCTTTAGTGATGGCCCGAATGGGGTCGAACAGATTTTCTTGAGGAGTGCGCTCGGCCTCGCGTCGGCGCGCGCTGCACAAGTCTGCGATCGCATCAGAGCGCGCTTGATTCAGGGCGCGCCCCTCGCAATCGATCGCGACGCATGCACGGTGCATTCTGCCGCGTGCTTCGTTTGGCAAGGGGGGGGCCCAGTCGAGCGGGCGACGTGCTCTCCGCTTTGGAACTGGTCCCAAATCTTCCTGGATTAACTTTGACTAACTTTGAATCACTTTTCGCATTCCTCGCTTTACAATTCAATTCTTTACTTTTGAAAGTTATTCGCGGCCGCGGGGGGGGGGGCAAGTTTCGGCCCGTTTTCGGCCTTGACGCCGGACCGGGTCAAACGTCATCGCGATGCGGCCCGGCAGTGCCAGGACATTCCGCGGTGGCGCCCGATCACGTCTGGTTTCGCACAGCCCTCGGGCGGGTGTTCTGGGGCGCCCGGAACGCGTTGGCGGAAGTCCGCAATTGCCTGCTGGCGCGAGGGATCAATCGAAGCGTGCTCCACCGATCGTCGATGCAATTCGACGGCCTCGGCTTTCGCGGTTGCTCCAGGCCCCCACGGGCCCCCTCCTAAGGCCGCGCGCCAAAGGGCACTCTTGCCTAGGGTCGCTCGCACGTGTCGCCGATGGTGGGGCGTGCCAAAGTAAAGGGGGAAGGTGGCGCGGCGCTGCGCCCCGCGCACTCAGCTGTCAGGCGGATGCCCCGAGGCCTTTTGCGCGCCCTGTGGCGTGAGAAGTTGAGGCCCCTGAGCGGCCCGCCGGCTCGTCTTTGGAGCCCCCGTGGATGCGAGCTTGGAAGCGAGAGCTTCGCGATGGTTGCCGTCGGCCGTTTCGCCGCGATCTCAAACTCGACGAGCCCGGGGTCGGCGACCTCGGGGCCGGGGGCGGCGACGCGGCGCGGCAGGGCGCCGACGGCGTCGCGAAGCACAGGGCGCTCTTTGGTCGCGCGAGTGCTGAAAGCGCCCGGGAAGCGGCCCGAGCAGGAGAAGCGCGCCCGCCGCCGCAGGTCGGCCACGCGCCTTGCTTGGTCGCGCCGCGCAGCGCCGGCCAGGCGCCCATGGCGGCTGGCGGCGGCGACGGGGCGCGCCCTCAGGCCGCGCCGAGCGACGCTTGCAGAGCCCCAGCCGCGGGCGCTCGAGAAGGCCGGGCTGCTGGGCGCGGACGCCGCGGACGGACTCGCGTGCGAGCACTTTGCCGAGAAGTGCCTGGCGCGGGAGGGCCCTGCGGCGGGGCGCTACCTGAGGCGCGCGACGCTCTTGCTGAAGACCGAGGCCCCTGCTTAAGCGCGACCGCCTGCCCATCGGCCGCAAGGCTTTGGCTGGCCGGGGGAAGAAGCCTCCGAGTCGGATCCGGGCTGGGGCACCAGAGGCTGCATGGCGAAGTGGATGCTCGACGACCATCGCGCGGAGCCATCGCGCCAGGGGGGGGCTGCAGTGCAACGGCTACGCGATGCCGTCGGAGGATTCGAACCTGACAGAAGGGAACGCGGTGCCGCCGCTGCCTCAGGCGAGCCGACGGCGCGCGGAGGCGCGGGGCATCGCGCAGGGCGACTCAGAGCGGAAGAGGATCGCGAAGCTAGGTCTCCAGAACATGGCCTAGGTCGGGGTGACCAACGGGCAGTGGTTGAGGGGCCGCCTCGAGCGTCTGCTCAAGAGGCGCTCCAGCAACGCGATCTATTGTTTCGCGTCGCCCTGCAGCGGTGCGAAAAGGATTTCAGGCCGCGTTGCCGGGGGGGCGGGTTCAACTCGTTCAAGGCGTGCCCGCGTGCGGCCCGCCATGGTGAGCCCTCCAAGACAGGCTCAACAGCCGTTTGTTGACCGCGCAGAGCGCAGCAGAGAGGCTACTGGAATAATCGTTCGTTATGCGGGCGCTATGAGAAGCGCGGTCGCATATTCAAGTAGTTGCCCATGATGACTAAGTGCAGTAGAAGCTTAGACTCAGGTCTAGGCACGCAGGCCAAACTGGCTGCGCCTCGCTTGGAATTTCTGATTTTGGTTATGTGGCACGGCAGATCACACGACCGGTGAGTTACGGTGGTAATCGAGGTTTTCTTGATGTACGTCAATGCGGGTATTTACGTTGCCGCGCACCCGCCAAGCGCTGCCGTCGAACACCTTCGGCGCAGAGGTGTCCGAGAAAAAAGAGGATTCAAGGATTCAGAGTTCGAGTCGCAGCGAGATCTGGTGCTGGGCAGAAGTGATGAGTGATGTATCTAGCTTGCTGTTGAATCTTTCTGAAACGACGTTGAAACACTGTCGTTTGTGCGTTTTTGCCCCCCACAGCCCCACCCTTGCTGACGCGCATCTGTGCACATGTTCCTTCCAGATTGCCTGTCCTGTGCGCGCAGTGTTTGCTCGTGGTGATAATCGAGGTTGCCTTGATACACATCAATGCGAGTAGTTACGCTGCTGCGTGCCCGCCAAGCGTTGCCGTCGAACGCCTTTGGCGCCGAGGTGTTTGAACATGGAGAATGCAATGTGTCAAAGCTCGAGTAACTAAACGGTGAGATCTGGTGCTGGGCAGAAGTAATGAACGGTACATGTATATTTAGACATGAATATAGAGAGATGGACTGCCGTGTTTAGGCCGCAGGGGGTGAAAGCTTGATGTCAGGGTTACAGGAAGTACGTGAGCCTCTGTTGCTGGCAGTGAGAATACGCGGCTGGCCTTTCTAAACATTAGGCCCGTCCTCGGCAAGTGCGGCCAGCGGGCGGGGATGCGTCGCTAGTAGTGGCGCCAGAGGAGCGACGAACATTTCGCATGAGACTTCTTCGCCAGCGGTGATTCTGCATATTGGAAAGTCCGACGGCTGCGCGAATGGAGCGCGGACACTTGTCAAAATGGGGTTCTCGCGCTAGTGACGCGCACAACCGTTTTGTGCGTTTCATTCATGTACACAGATGGTGGGCGAGTGTTCTTGAGGACGGGTGCTTGCTCTGCCGCAGCGAGCAACCGCTGTGAACCGCCAGTGTTGAGTTCGTTAATTGCAGATTATTTATCCTGCCCTCGTCGTCGTGATCCGTTTCTTCCACGGGATGAGCTTTTGACAACAAAAACGGCAACGCTACAGCTGCTCATCGCAGGTGCTGCTTTTTGCAACCCGCATCCTCCAGATATTTGCTAAGCAAGCTGTGCTACTCATGTAGGCCCACGGGGATGCGCACGATAGTTGACATAATTTTTCAGAGCGTCCCAGTCGTAGAGCGACCTTCCTGGAACACCAAGGCGATTGTAAAAGAAATGGTGGGAAACAGTCCCTTACGGTTGCGAAAGGACCCCCGCACCAGGAGGTAAGGATGGGGAGGGGTGTAGCCCCGCGGCGAAACACAGCGGTTGACTGTCCCATTTCGGGGGCTGCCAGGGTTTTGCTCAGGCCCCGTCTCCCCCCGACATGGCGGCATCTCCAAACGACCTGCGGTCGAGGGTTTCAGCCTTCATCGACAAACCGATCCGCAGCTCCCAGCTCGAAAAGGGAGGACCCAATTCGAGCTTCGAGTTGCGGATCGGTATGGGCATCCCATCCGACTGGGGGGATCCAGTTCGATCGGGGGGACCCCATTCGAGCTCAGCGAGGAGGCCTCATCGACAAATGGACCCGAGGAAGGGCATCAGGCTCTTCCCATACCTCGAGCGCCCTGCAAGAGCAGGACGGCGTGCCTTCCCGAGCCCCGCCCTCCGCAGACCCACTTCCAAAGAGGGGGGCGCGGACATCCAACGTCACCGCGCGATTCGAGGACAGGTGCGCACGCGGGCGTTGAGATCTTCTGTGGGATCCCGGTCTGTAAGATTGGAAAGAGCGTGTTCTACCGCTTCTGGCGGAAAACCGGGGGGGGTCACTACCGGTTCGAACCCCTCCCCCCCCTTCCGGAAAACCGGGGGGGGTCACTGCCGGTTCGAACCCCTCCCCCACCCCCCCAGCTCGTCATGAAAAGGGGGGGGGTCGAACCCCCCCCCCCGAAAACCGGGGGGGGGTCACTACTGGTTCGACCCCCCTCCCTCCTCGAAAACCGAAGGGGGGTGCGGACAGTGGTGGGGACGGTGGTGGTGGGGACAGTGGTGAGGGGACAGCGGGACAGTGGTGGGGACAGTGGGACAGTGGTGGGGACTGCAGTGGTGGGGACAGTGGTGAGGACAATGGAGGGAACAGTGGGGACACTGCACAGTGGTGGGGACGGTGGTGGTGGGAACAGTGGTGTGGGGACAGGGGGAGGTGGAAACAGTGGGACAGTGGAGGGTAATTGCAGTGGTGGTGTCGGGGACAGTGGTGAAGGCGGTGGCGAGGACGGCGGTGGGACAATGGGACAGAGGTACAGTGGGGACAGTGGTGGGGACAGTGGGGACAGTGGTGGGAACAGTGGGACAGCTCAGTGGGACAGCGGAGGAGTCAGTGGGACAGTGGGGACAGTGGGGATAGTCGGGCAGTGGTTGGGGCCGTGGAGAAAGTGGGGAGTGTGGAACCGTGGTGGGAACAGTGGTGGGGACAGTGGGGACAGTGCGACAGTGGTGGGAGCACTGGTGGGGACAGTAGGGACGGTGGTGGAACCAGTGGGGACAGTGGTGGTGAGGACAGTGGTGCTGGGAACAACAGTGGGGGATGTGGCGCGGACGGTGGTAGGGACCGGGAGTCGTTTGCTGGCGGTGAGTGGGGGGGGGGGGGGAGGGGTTCGAACCGGTAGTGACCCCCCCTCCGGTTTTCGAGGGGGGGGGGGGGGGGCTTTCGAACCCCCCCCCCCCCGGTTTTCGAGGGGGAGGGGGGGGCGGAGGGGTTAGGGGAGGGGGGGGTTTTGCCGGGGGAGGGGAGGGGGGGGGGGTCCAGCAGGGGAGCGGGAGGGATTTTCGGAGGAGGGGGGGGGAACCCCCGGGTTCCGGAGGAAGAGGGGGGCAATTTTCCACAGTAAAGCGGCGGTGGATCACGCTCTCTCTAAGATTGGCATCGCCTTGTCCCAGTGCCGATCTTAAGGTCTCGCCCAGTTTCTCAGGGCACACCCATAATGTAGTCTTCGCTTTGGGCTTTTCAGTGCTTGGGATAGTGATGAAACCGAGGGAGGCTGGTTAGCATTGGCGGCAAGATCGGAAGATTGGAAGTCGGGGTTCCTTCCTCCGAAGAGCAGAACGAGTCTGCAGAGTAGTAGTCGCTTATGATTATGATGTTTCTCGTTGTTATATTCCTCACCCCCCTATGCCTGGGTGAGGCTGACAGGCCACCATTGTCTCATGAGCGGGTACCTGCTGCATGACCAGCGTGCAGCTCTGTCTTGATTGCCATGTCTTTCGGATCATGCAGTTGGGCTGCAAGTCCTGTGAGGTTGAATTCAGCATCGGCGCTAGTACATCCGTTGTGGAAAGCTGGCCGAATTCGGCATAACCCGTCTACAACTTTTTTCATCAAGTTAGCATTTCAATTTGATCATGGCCACTCCGACTGAATGGCCCCTCAATTTAGTTGTACAGTTTTAGAATAGTTCTTGCAAAGACCTCCCATGGGCCGACTCCTAAGTGCAGCTCCGATGCGACTGCCTTGTCTGTTATCTCATTCGCAGGTCCTCGAGGTTGACGACCTCCCCGAGTTGGCCGTGGAAGACGAAGGACTCCGGGCTTGCGGTCCAATAACTCGCCGCCCACCAACAAAAAAACAACTTAACCCGAATGCCTCGATTTGCCCTCCATTTCCAGTGGGGGGGGTCGGGGAACATTGAAAATACACATGGAAGCCGTACCGCCCCCCCATCCCGAAATACGGACGAAATTCGGGTCTTCTGGTTGGGTTGGGGTGGTTTGGCAGTTAGTCAATGACTCTCCAGACGCCTCTTCACACCCCGCAGGGCCAGGTTCACAGGTGGCACATCCAACAAGAAGTTGGCCTGCTAGCAGGCGCCCCATGGACAGTTCTTATCCCCTCAGCGGCCAGGAGACCCACAGCAGCCCTGGAGCTCCGTAGGACCCCCAAAGATCGACGAAGAATGTGGCCCACCACCCCATGATTTCTAAGGGGGGAGGTTGGGGTTCACTTCGCTCGGGAGGTCCTGAACGAAGTGAACCCTACCTCCCCTCTTAGAAATCGTGGGGTGGTGGGGTAGGGTTCGCATGTGGCCTCCTAGAAGGCCTTAGGGCCGGTGCCGCTGACCTGAAGGGGGAGCCCGAGGCGGCAGGGCCAATATAATTATCTGATCGCCATTTTTTGATGGGTCTGGTGCGGGGGTCCTTCACGTGCGTCCAGAAGATGCCTCGACGACCAACAACTGCATCGGCATAAACGTTCCGAGGTCCGCGCCGGGCTCGCCTGCGTTCGGGGTGCGGATGGCGCCCGGGGGCGGCGCCGAAGTTGCCTGCAAAGGAGCTCTGCGCAGACCTCCGCAAGCGTGTGTTTGCAGCCAGCTCGTATAGTGAAGATGCGCGGTAAGGATGCAAAGGATGGGAGGCCCGTGCCGAAGCTCTTCGGGCTGGGCCAGCTATCGAAAGTGGCTGCGTGGGGACCGAAGATGGCCGAAGTGGCAAGGATGCAAGGGTACCTTTTGGGAAGCCGAGAGTCCTTACGATCCTGGTTGGCTGTAAGATGTTTTCCGTTCTTCTAACAGCTGGGGTCTGGTTCCAAGACAATCGGAGGTTGGTAGACCTCCTACCCTGACACTTCGATTAGCGAATTTCCCGTTTTCTGTTCGCGAGAGGGCGTCGCGGCCGTCGTTTTTGCTGGCCCAGGTCCGTCGGTTTCGGTCCTGGGCCGTTTCCACGCAATGGTGGTTTGCCACAGGGAGGCTGGTCCACCGCCGAGACAGATCGGCAGAAACGTAACTTTTCGGAGGCCCGCGCTGATTGCCCACGAGACCGACACCGATCTGGCTGGGGGCTGTTCCCCCTCACCTCCGACTATCATGTTTACTTTGATGTCTCATCATGATTATGTTTCCTCCTCCTCCCGCATCATCTCTTGCCACTTCCTCCTGCGTATCGAGTCCGTCTACTCAATTTTTGCTTGTTCCAGGCTGCTGAGCGCATCGCTGCACACTGGGTGACTCTCTGAGCAGCAGCCGCGCACTGCAACTGGTGTGTCGTCCAGGCATACTTCCGACTTGCTGGGTTGTTCCTCCCTTCTTGTTTCAACCTGAGCCAGGCCAGTTCCCCTTCAGTCGTTCATGCTCTGACCACCTCATCATGGGCTCGTTCCAGCCCCGTCCAACATTTCCAGCCCTGGCCACCTCCACGTTTTCCAGAATTTCCGACTTCAGCTTTTTCCAGGTCTTCTGTGAGTTCATTATGGGTTGCTTTTGGGCTTCTTGATGTGAGTACATGACTTCGGACGCCTCGTCGCCCCATGCAGGGCCAGCTGAGATCTCTGGGGCTGGAGTCCCTCAGACGGCTACAGCACGAAGGTACACCCAATGATAGTGTTCCTCCATCCTCTCCTCGAAGTTTACTCCTTGGGGGGTGAGGCTTCGTATGTGTCCCAGCCCTCTTGTGTTGGGCACTCGCTTTGAAAACCATTTTCCTAATTCCTCAGTGCATAGCACTCTTTTGTATAGAGAACTGCAGCTCCTCCTCTTATGATGTTCCAGCCAACTTTAGCCTTGACCACCAGAAAGAATTTCGAACACCAAAAAAGTACCGAAACTCGAGAGTTTCCACGTGTCGGGCCCTGGGAGACACTCGTCCGATACTGCTTCGACACTTCTCCGGGCGCTCGAACTTATTTCATGGATTACGATGGGAGCAACATGATCCTCCTCTCCAATCCTCTACCGCCTCCTCCCCTCCTCCTGCCTCCTACCTCCTACTTTGCCTGCTGGCTCGCTCCCTTGGTGATCCCTTCCTGACTGCGCAAGTGCCGCCAATTTCCGTTGGCTCTTGGGAGGTCCAGCGGAGTGAGGTCCTGCGCGCACCCATACAGGACCCCCCCCTGTGGGCGCACCAAGCTGTGCAAATGTCGCCGCTTTCGTGAGCTCCTGAAAATTGTAACGGAGCGACGTCCAACGCCGATCTAAACGGGACCTTCCCTCCCTGGGCGCAGCCGATTTGGTGATATCCTTAGAGGTCCAGCAGATCGTCGTCCTCTCCCGCCTCTTCCCGTCCTCATGCCTCCTACCTGCAATCTGCCTCCTCCAAGCCTGCTGCCATTGCCGACGGCGTAACTGTCGCCAAACGTGCCCCCCCCCCATCCCCGCCCTCCGCGTTGCCAATTGAGCCGCGGTCGCCACTTTCGTGTTTTCGTGTGTGGTCCGGCGGGGTGACATCCTACGTGGATGCAGATTCGACTTCTCTTTGCAGGACGCTGCCAACTGTTCAACCGTCGCCGTTCTCGCGAGCTCCTGGGGAGTCCAGCGGCGTGACGTCCTACGCGGATCCGAAGTGGACCTCTCCCTCCCTGTGCGCAGCCATCTGCGTAATTGACGCCGCGCTCTTGACTTCCTGTGAGGTCAGCGGAGTGACGTCCAAAGCGGATCTAAACGGAACCTCCCCTCACGGGGCGTTGCCAATTGCGCGACTGTCGCAACCTTCATGAGATCTTGAGGGATCTGGCGGAGAGAGGTCACACGGATCCAAACCAGCGGTCTTTTTCTTTTGGCGTTGCCAATTTGCGGCGTTGCCAACTGCGCAGTTGGCACCACTTCTGTGAGCTTCCGGGAGGGCCGTCGGAGTTGCGCCCTGCCTGAATCCAAACGGGATTTCCCCCTCCGCGGGCGCTGTTCTAGAGCTCGGACCTCTTTATTTTATTGTTCGTCGTTCATTCGTCGTTCGTCTTCCCCCCCTTCCGCGGAAGGAAACTCCTGGAGGAAGGAGGCGAAAGCCTCGTGTCCCTCGCAGCTCCTTGGTGCAAGAGCCAGGGCACGCGTGCCACTTGTCGCCACGTTCCTGTTTTGCATATGGGAGGCCCAGGGTGACGTCCTACGCGGGTACTGACGGGACCTCCCCGTCCCTGGGCGCCGCCAACCGCGCAACAGCCGCAATTGTCGCGAGCTTCTGGGCGGCTTCAGCGCAGCAACTTCCTACGAGACTGTCTTTTATCGTCGGGCGTGGGCAGGCCCACACGTTGGCTTCTTCCAGGATCCCCATCGGTCGTCCAAAGCAGGTATTTTTGGATCCCCAGAACCCAATGTACTTCAAGCGCCTTCCTACTTCAAGGATCGATATGCTTTTGCTGCGTGTTGTTGCTCTCAGGGCGGGCCCGAACCCAATCTGCTCTATCCGCCTTCCCACTTCATGTTTCTACCTGCTTCTTCCGACCGATGGGTAGGGGTAATGTCGGCAGAGGGGCCCCCACCCATGGTGGGTTTGGTCTTCGCCCGCGGCGTCATAAGCTTGGACGGTGTGGATTAAGGCAGCGTGTGCCTCATGCGTTGTGGTTTCCGGCCGCGGGCGCCCGACGACTCGGCTTAAGTCGGGCCTGTCCCTCTACAGGAGGAATGTTCAAACTAGGAAAAAATAGTATGGGGACGATTTGTTGTGCATATATTTTTCGGGGGGGGGGGGGGGCAATTTTTGAGTTTATTTGTCCTCCAAAATCAGCCTGTAGGAGGACATGCCCGACCGAAGGCTAGGCAGTCGCGCGCCTTTCGCGCAGCCGCTTGTCCTTAGACCATGTGCTGTTCTCTTCTAGAAGGCCCACGCGCGGGAGAAGCCGCGGCCGCGGCGCAGCAGCAGTGCATACAGCACAGGCAAGAGCAGCCGATGGCGCCCCGCAGCCCAGCATCAGTTCTATGAGTTGTAGTCCTCGGAGTGGGCTAGCCCACGCACGCATATCAGTTTTAGTGGTTCAAGCGTTGCCATTGCGGGCCAATGATGAGCCCTTCTCTGAGTGGACGCACCGGAAGTGCTACGAGTCCAAGGGCAGTTCGCACTGAAAGTTTCGGTGGTGGCCCCTGAACGATCCACGATGCGTTGGGTTCACGTTTGGGTGGTTGAAGCGCAGGGCGCTAAGGAGCCTTCCGACATGTTGGTGGACTCTCGCAGATAGGGCATCCAATGATGATGACATGTTGCGCGCAGGTTTGCTCAGTGGACCCGTTTTGGGCTTGAACCACACGATGGAGGGAGGAGGGGGCGAGAAGCGGAGGGTGAGGATGGGCGAGAGGGATATGAAACGTGATAGGGTGCAGGGTTTCGGTATTCCCCTTCGTCGTCCTCTTCCCTTTCATTTTCCCGCCGACATCCTCGTCATTTTCTTGCTTGTGCTCACTCCCCTCGTCTATCGTACCTGTTCTTCTGAAAAAGCAACTGCGCAGGGCTGTTGTCTGCCCCGTCGGCCCTGCCAGCGAGCCTCGAGAACGGCCTCGAAGCTTACATAAACATACAGCATGTGTGTTCGTCGGGATCTTGTGTGTCCTCATCATCCTCATCATCCAGCTCCCGCAGACATCTCAGCACCCGATCTCCATACTACTCGTAAGTGTTCTCATCGCCATCATCGTTACCAACACCACTAGCATAGCCATGATCGTCGTCATAATGGCATCGTGATTATCGTCGTCGTCATCGTCTTCGCCGTCCAGTGGCAGCATCGTCATAAACATCATCCTCGTCACCACGACCTTCATCACAGTGCGAGCATCGTCATCGCCATCATCGTCACCAGCACCCCCAGATCACCACCTTTGTCGCAGTCATCATCGCCATCGTCGCCGTCACCACCGTAGTCATCGCCAGCATCACCGCCACAGCAACCACACTCCACCATCATCGTTGGCATCGCCGTCGCCGTCATCACTGATATGACATCGTCATCCTCATCATGACATGCTTCACCATCGTTACCACCCCCTCTACATACTCATACTACACATGTTTAGCGCATGTTCTGTCCATAGTCTTTCCCGCCTCTTCGTCCTCTATCCCGATCCTGATCTTCCCTCGCGTAGCTAGCCTACCGAATCTAGCCGCACACATCCGCATGGAAAGACACGGGCGCCGTGTTGCGTTTTTTTTTCCACATGTCACCGCCCTGCGCCTGCAGGTAGGACACGTTGAAATCCTTGACGGCCGAGGTGACAGCAGCATCAGCAGCCCGCGGTCGAGGAGGGGGAGGCAGGTGGAGGAGAAATGGCAAATGAGGGTTAAACCTCACTGGGTGGAGGAGGGCGGGTTGGATGAGGAGGAGGATGACGCCGACGACGACGACGACGGCGACGCGACGAGGGGTCGAGGAGGAGGAGGTGCACAGAGAGTCGGAGGAGGGAGGGGACGAGGAGGGGAAGGAACAGTCAGAGGAGGAAGTTCTTGAGACATAGCGTGGGTAGGAGGGGCAGGGGGTCAAGGGTGACCCACTCGTGGTGTGGGCTCGACTCCTCCTCATCCTGCCTCTCCCACCTCCTTCCACTGGCCTTGACAAGACCTTTGCAAATCGAGGACAGCACCATGATGTGGCCAGGGTCGGCCGTCTTGGTCCGCACAGGAGCGGGGCCCTTCGGGAAGTACATTGGCACGGCAAGCATCCCGAATGGGATGTGGACGGCGTCGTTCATTTTAGTTTTGATGACTTAGCTTTCAGTCCAGACGCGCGACCCTTCGCCGACACTCTCGGCAAACTTCAAGAAGTCCTGAAGGGCGATCCCGTTCGCCGTGATCGTCTTCACTGAGTGGATCGAGAAAAAAACAGGTAACGGCATGCATTCGTAGCCAATCAGCGGGAACGCAGTTGGCCCGTGGCGGATCGAGTCCGCACGGCACGTGCACAGCCACGGCCCAAATGGGCCTTTGTTCAAATCCTCCACGTCGTCGCCTATTGTCTTAAACTTGTACTCTGGCAGGTTCTGGCTGATGCGGCCGATGCAGCCCAGCCACTTCTCGCCCTTCGCCGTGAAATCATCCAATTGCACAGAAACCTTACTCTTCATGATTTCGCCCACAGCTGCCATGTAGCCCCTGAATGTCCTGGTACACCTCACTGTCACTGGAAGTCCACACGCCGACTGCCGCAACGTCGAATGCCTCGTCTTGCTTGAAGCCCCCTGGAGGAGGAGCGGTTTCTGTTTCTTGCTCTTGTTCGTGCCGCTAGACTCGGTTATCGTCTCCCTTTCGGCCTCGCCTCGGGTCGCGTACAGCACTTTCGAGAGGCCGTCGGCGAGGTGCTTGTCGTACGAGCCTTCGGCCAGCCTTTTCGTGACCTGGACCCTCTTGTTTTAGTGCGTCATGTAGGCCACCGAGCTCTTGCGATTCGCCTTTGACGTCACGAAGCTCCAGCCGGTGATGTGTGAATGCACAAGCTTCTTCTTCTTTTTCCCGTCAAGCTTGTTCATCTTCGTGCCTAATAAGACGGGGATCTTGCAGAAGTCTACATTCTGACTTTCCCTTTCGATTTGGCCCACGTAATTAGAATTACTAAAGTATCTCATTGCACAGCGTCTCTAGGTTCGCGATGAGCTTGGACGTGGGCATCGTCAAATCAGAGTCCTGGTCGCTGGTTATGCCGTGGCTTGCCGTCCTCAGTTGCTTCACGCATCCTGTCGATGGCTCTTTGAAGCCCTTCACGGTATGCTTCCCCATCAGGATCCACATCTGCTGGAGCTGCATGAGCTCGACGGGCTCCATCTTGTCGACCTCTGGTGCCGATGGCACAGTGCGCTCCCGAGTCTGATCATCTATACTCACGCTGAGCTTCAGAGCGTCTTGACCTTCTGGGGGCCAGCCGCCAGCCTTCTTAGAGTCGCTCGCCCTGCTTTCAGCGGCCTCGGAGACCACATCACACACAGAGCGCGCGGGCGACTGCCCCCGGAGACCGAGGCTTGGCTCTGACAGCCCGCAGCCACCTCTCTCTGACAGGCCCTGCACCGGGCTCCGGCAGCGTGAACGTTGACGGATCATGAGGCGGCGGCGGCGGTAACGGATCATTTGACGAGGCCGCCTGCGACGCGCTGTTCGCCGTCTCCACGCTGGATTTCATCAAGAGCCTCTTCCCCTTGGCTTGGAATGTGGTTTGCTTGGTCTCCCAGGTCGTCTCATGCACAGCCTCCTTGTCGATGGTACCCGTCGATGACCTTGTCCGAGAAATGTCCATGATCTGGACCTTCTGCTCGACGACAGCGCCGTCGGCGCCCCTCGCGTCCAACCGGCCGTTCTGCTCCTTGTGTTTCTTGAAGAACTCACGCTGACATTGCTCGTCGCTCTTGCGATGCCAGAAGCCCTCGAACGCCATGTACTCAACCAGGCTCACCTCGACCTGATCGTCGATCCGCTTGTCACTCGTCTTATGTGATCGTCTCCACGATCACGTGAGCAGGCCGATCCAAGAAATCCGCGCGGAGCGCCGACAGTTTTTGCTTATGCCGTTTATTATTCTTCTGAAGCTGGCGGCGAGCCCAGGGCAGAAGTGAGAAGGGCCAGGCCTTCTCAGAAGGCTCGTAAGTCGCCCAGCCTTCTGAGCAGTCGTCACGGCCTTCCCCGAAGACACAGAAGACTTCTCAGAGCGCGCGAGGGCTTCTGAGACGCCCCGCCGCCTTCTGAGGAGGCCTTCTCCTTCTCGCGTCCCCCCCTCGCTCGCCGCCGACCAAGCCTTGCCGTCCGACTCCCGGCGGCCCATCTCGTGGCCTGCAGGAGACCCCCAAAGCGGTGCCCCCTGCGCGGAGCCAGACCGTGCGCCCCGCCCCTGGGCGCCGCCAGCCCCCCCCCCCGAGACCGGGGCAAAAACTGACCAGGACAATGGCAAGTCGGGCACGCGGCACCCTGTCTCGGGAAACTGGAACATATACATTTCCAGTGGCGGGCTCTCTTTCAATCCCAGGACTGTTTGAGGGTCGGGGACGACGTCGGGGTGGTGTGGTGTATACTTTTCCTTCATTTTCCAAGGCGAACAACGAAACATGTATACACCAGGATCCCGTATACACCAAGATCCGCGTGCTTGTCCGAATTTCAGTGCAGGGCTGGAAAAAGCGTCGGTGTATAGAGTTCGGTTCCCCGTTGTCCTTCAAAGTCTGATTTTGGTTTTCCAGTGCAGTTTTGCTGCTGCTGCTGCTGCTGCTGCTGCGCTCGGTCGTCCCGTGCATGCTTCTGCTGCTGCTGCAGGATTCAGGTCTCTGTCCGGGCCTATATGGGGAGGTTCTGCAGGCTTTCGTGGCCAGTGCCCGGGTTTCTTCCGGTAATGCTGCAGTGCAGTGTTTGGTCAGTGTCGCTCTCTTGCCCAGTGCAGTTTTTTGTTCGTGCCGCCGTCGGGAGAAATCGGTTTCGAGGCATGTTGGATGTCCCGGTCTAGCGCGTCCAGGTTCGAGGGGCCCTGACGCCGCCAGCCGCCAGGCTTGCGCAACCGTGCGGCCCCTTTCGCGAGCTCCTGGACGGCCGAGCATTTGCGACGTCCCACGCTCTGCAATCGGTTTTGCCTGGCGCGCCCGGCCCAGGTTCCCCGCGGATCTCCCAGAGGGGACGCGCCAAGTCCACTCGTTCTGGAAGTGCCCTCTGGTAATGCCACCACATTTGTTCAATCCGCAGCCTCAGAAGCCCCGACCGCTTCCCCTGGGCCAGCTTGTTGTCATGGGTATAGTTTTGTTGGTTCCTGGGCTCGAAGGAGGCCCCTGGAGGCCGAAATCCAGGAAACACGCCAGGATTGAAAAAGTCCGATCGTTGGAGATCTGCGTGGGCTCGTACGTCCCCGGTAAGATGTATGTACTTTCTGGCCTTCTGGCGCCATCGAGGCATGTCGACGCCTCGGGGACTTTCGGCTTTCGGTGACCTCCAGAAAGATGCACGCGGACCTCTGGAGGCCGCCTCCTCCTCCTCTCCCTTCTCCTCCTCGGCCACTCTCCACCTCTTTACCTCGACCCCCTCCGAGTCATCTGCCAGGTCATGCTGGCTAAGGTCCCATCCAAAGCTTATGACAGTTTTGCCCTTCCAGCCATCCCAGCAGGGACACGCTCGGGGAGAAGGAAGTCCAGCATGGGGCGCATCTCCCTCATCGAGAGCAGCATGAAGAACCTGACGACGACCCAGAAGCGAAACTCTTCGAGCATATGGATGCGAGACAAAGACCACAAGAACAGGCATCAGGGGCAAGTGAAAGTGTGTAAGTGTGTGTGGTGTGTGTGTGTGTTTGTGTGTTTGTTTGTTTGTTTGTTTGCTTGCTTGTTTGCTTGTTTAGTTGTTTGTTTGTGTTTGTTTGTTTGTTTGTTTGTTTGTTTGTTTGTGTGTTTGTTTGTTTGTTTATGTGTGTGAGTGTGAGTTCGTTCGTTCCCCCGCCTAGTGCGGGACGCCGTATCTTCTCACCTTCTCAGCCCAAGCCGCGCGCCAAGGCAAACCAACAATGCAGGCGGCGGTGGGTGAGGGGGAAGTACGCGGGCGGGGCACGGTCCGCAGTGCAGCCGCCCAACACCGAAAAACACAACCCGCACGCTGCTCTTGGAAGCACTCAACCGCCAGGACCAGCCCAATCCCCGCACTGGTGGGCCCAGCCTTTGCACAAGCACACGCGACGCAAGACAACCACGGTGCTGCAGGCCAGACGCTACCTGCAGCTCGTGCTGTGTGCGCGCTGTCTCGGCGAGGGTGGGTGTCAGTCGGTTCTGGGTGGCGTGATGGGGCGCACCTGCACCGCGCGCCTCCGCCCAAGGCTCACGTAGCATGTGGGAACGCGGGTGGGTGAGAGAGCGTGTTTGAGCCACGCGTGCGCGCGTGTGTAAAAGGGGGAGGTGGGCAAGGGGGGCCACGAAGAGGGCAGGAAGCAGGGCCAGAGTGGAGAAGCGGAGAGGAGGCAGAAGGCCAGGCAGGAGGCGGAGGAAGCGGGGGAGGGGAGGGAGAACGGGGAGGATAGCGAGGGGGGCCACGAAGAGGGCAGGAAGCAGGGGCAGAGAGGAAAAGCGGAACGGGGACACAGGAGGAGGCAGGAGGCAGCACGGCGCCACTCCACACAGCGCAACACATCACATCCCTCGTCGGGTGTATGCTTGTGGGAGGGCGCAATTTTCTCACTCGGTTCAACGACGTATGCTCTCTCGAGCGGGTTCGGAGAAGGGATCTCCCGCCGGCCCTGGCATAACGAACGTGGCCTGCCCCCTTCGGTGTGCACGCGCCAAATGCACGCCGGGCGAGTAGACATGTATGGCTTCACTTATGCAAAGTTCTGCCAGAAAGAACTGAACGAGATGCGGTTTCACAATACAAGTTCCACCGGGAAGAACTAAACAGATTAAGGTTCCCCCCCTGGGCGCTAAGAGCGAGCCAGGGAGCGCAAAGTTAGCACGATCATGTAGAGAGACATGCGTCATTGTGGGACGGAGCTTGCCCCCATGCATGCATGAGTAGCCACAGCAGCGGTACCAGCATCGGCCGCGCGGCGGGGACAGGTGAACCCAGGTGCTAGTACAACCGGAGGGGGGGGGGGCAGAGGAGGAGGGAGAGGGGGGAGCCTGCACGCGCGGTCGGAAACAGGCACTCCGCCCCGGCACCCGCACTAAAGGTAGGCGGCGGTTGACTGGGCAATAATGGCACACCATCGGCTATATCAGCTATCGCCGAGCGGGCGCCACGGGCAGACATGGGAGCGCGGGCCAGGAGCGGCTCCTGAGAGGGGAGCCGCCCCATGTCCCAGGCGGCCGAACACCTGCCAGCACGCCCTGGCCGTGCAGTACCAATGGAATGCCCGGGCGACCACGCACCCTGGACCTCCCAGAGAAGGGGGAAACGGAGGGGGGAGGAGAGGCGGAGGACGGAGGAAGAGAGGGGAAGATGGCGACTGCCCGCTCATGTCGAGCGCTCGGGGCCTCCACGGCCGCGGAAAGGACCTGCCGGCGAGGATCGACCGATCGGCACCACGGCCACGGAACGAAAAGCAAGGCGCAGAAAACACCGATGTATTTCAAGCCACCTTTTCGCCCCCAAAGGGTAGCTTGAAATGCCAGCCGCTTGAGACCGCCATGGAGGCAGGAGGAAAAGGAAAGAGGAGAGGGGAGGGCAGGGGGGGGACAGCGAGGCCTGCGGCGACAGCGCTACTGCCTCAACCATGCGGGGGCACTTCACGCAGTCTGCAGCAGCGCCTCCGCGACCTGTCGCGGCATCCGGCCGCGGTGGAAGCCTGCCATGTCGACCACCGGGCTATAGGTCGGGAGACCCAGAGCCAGGCGCGCGGTGAGCTCCAGACCACCGCTGGGGGTGGATATGCGTTTGTCTCTTCTCATCCATATCACCGGCCCCAACGGGATGCGGACAACCTCTTGACCAGGCGTTCCCACACCCGCGTTGGAGTTGGCCAAGCCCGCAAACCTCGTGAACCCGTACCGCTCCTGGACGTAGAAGCCCACGCCAGCCAGCGCCATCCGCCACAGCCGCCTAGACTCCCTCCGGTCGGCGCTAGCCGGCGGCACGAATTTCAGGATTGTCGTGCCCTGGGAGGTTTCCGGCCTCTGGGCCTGGGGGGCCCAGGCCTGCGCAAGCATCCTCGAGTCCGTCGGCCGATGCTCCGCGCGGAGGTCGGTGAAACCGATCTGCCGCCACGCGTCTGGCCCCTTGGCTGCCTCAGCTGCCGCTGCTGCCGCTGCTGCCCCTGGGAGCGCGAGCCGTCGCGGCCCTGCCCAGAACGCCTCCCCAGACATCAGGCGTCTCGAAAAAATCGAGACGGAGGGTTTTCATAGTTTTTGGCCTCTCGGGGCCCTCGCCGGGCCCCGGGACCGTCAAAAAACGACTCGGGATGAAAAACCGGTCTCAGGGAAGCGGTCGGGAGGTCGGGGGCCCGCGTCTCGAAAAAATCGAGACGTCGGATGTCTGGGTCGGACGTAGGTGGCACTGGCGCCATGGATGCCCCTGTGCTCACAGGCATCGCTGGGGCGGCTGGCTGCGAGGCTGCTGGGGACGCCTGGCACCACGTGGGGAGTGCCGCTGTCGCCTGCGGGTGCGCTGCCAGGCACAATCCGACGGTGCCCGCGTTGCCCAGGTAGTGTGTGTACATGTTACCGCCAAGGGCGGCAATCTTCTCAAGGTCAGGGGTGGCGGCCGGGCCCTCCCTGCAAGGAGGAAAGTCAACCCGCGGGTAGCGCCGGCCGCAGTCAGATGGCCTTGGATGGCGAGCTGACCGGCTGCTGTCTGGAGCGCCGCCATGCGGGCCGCCTGCGAACCGGAGAGGGTGAGAAGTTCGTTGGCAAGGGTGCCAATGGTGGCAGGGGGGGGCCGCGTGCGGCTGAATGGCGAGGTCCACGATAGTGTTGTGGTTCAGGCCGGCTGCGTCCTGGCCAGGCGCGGCAGCCGGCATGGCCCGCACGGCCTGCTCGGCCGGCTCCAGCCCCAGCATGGCCGTGCCAGGAGCATCCCAGCGGCTCGGCCGGCTCCGGGGCGGGCTGCGGCTACGCTGAGCCGATGCCGTGTCCGGCCACTCCCATTGAATTTTGCCCTTGCCTGTATCGTAGCAGTAGACGTGGCCGCTGCTCGGGTCGACCGGCGCCGCCCATGCGGTAGGTAGGCCCGGGACCGCGGCCGGCAGGAGAGGAAAGGACGGGACGGCAACGACGAGCAGGTGCGAGAGCAGAAAATGCCCGGGGAGCCTCCGAGGGGCCTGTTCGAAGTCGTGGGGCCGCCTCTCTCAGGAACCTCATTCTGGGCCTGCTGGGGCCCCTCTGCACTGCACGAGGATCCTCCTCCTCCTCCTCCTCCTCCTCCTCCTCCTCCTCCTCCTCTCCTCGCTTCGCTCCACCCACCCCCTTTCTCTTAGAGCTTGGGAGACGGCTAAAGCGGAGGGTAGAGCCGAGGCGAGAGCGGCTGAAGCTAACCAGCGCAAGCCGAAGATCCAGCGTATTGTCGGTTCGGTTGTGTCGCGGGCCCTGTACCCTGAACGTTTCCATCTGACGCTCAGCCGCCGTCTGAGAGCCTGGGAGATCCCACCCCCGCCCGATCTCAGTGCTCGCTGGTCATTGCTGCGTGCAGAGCTCTCCTCAGTCCGACCCTCGTGGAGATGGGCTGTATGGAAGTCCCTGGCGGGAGGTTGGACCACATCGTGTCGGATGCACGTCTCACGGCACTCTCGGGATTGCATTTTTGGTTGCGGCGGCTCCGACAGTATCAGCCACTACTTCCGTTGCCCCCGAATGAGGCACCACGTCGCCATGAGTTGGGTGCGGCTCGTCTTTCCTGTGGAGCCCGTGCTTTGGCTTGGTCTCGGGAGTCCCTCGGAGTACGGCACGGAAGATTGTGAGCTGAGTCGAGCCCAGACGCTTGAGGCAACGGCCTTAGCGTTTCATATCTATCACAAGGCCAAAGATTCAGTGCCTCCTGGGGCACACCTAACGTATACAGAAACCGAGCGGATGGCTGGTGCTGCGCGTTTGGCGCTTCGCGTCTAGTGCGGTCATCGGGAGCCCGCCCTCAGGGTACGTCCACTCCTCCTCCTCCTCCTCCTCCTCCTCCCCCTCCTCCCCCTCCTCCTCCTCGAGCTCCTCCTCCTGCCACGCAGCGGCTGGAGGGGAAGCGCGCGCCAGGGCGAGCAGGCGTGGCCTCTGCCAGAGCTTCAGGACTAAGCGCAACTGTGCGTCAGAAGGGTTCCGCCCACACGACGCATGTTAGGGCTGTGTGATGTATAGAGCAGCGTTCCCGACCTGCCTAGCCCTTTTTGTATACCGTCTGCGCCGGGTCCACAGTGTGCAGGTGCTCATTGGGGATCCCACCTCGTGTCCTCGACGAGGGGCGGCTGCATGCCGCGGCCGCCAGGCCGAAAGCGTGCCCCTGTTCCCTGGGGATTCCGCCTCGAGTTCTCGAGTGGGGATCGCTCCCAGCACGTTTAGCTTGCCTAGGGGGTATTCTTGGGCCCACGAGGCCACATTTAGACGTCTTGGAGCCGTCGTCTTGGGAACCTCTGGGGCGCATGCCGGAAGCTACCCCGGGCCGATTCTCTGCCATCCTGGGCGGTCCCAGAGGCCACCTTCAACCATTCGGGCCCGTTGCTTCTGCCCTTTCACCGACCTGGGCTTCTCCAGCCGTATTGTCTCCGCCCTCGCCCCCCTCGGGCCGAACGAAAGGGGGGGATAGGGAAAGGGGGGGGGTACGACATCTGCTACATGCAGCTGGTTTCGGCCCCGCCGCCAGGCCCAGTCCTCCCCTTTGCTATCCCCCCCTTTCGCCCGGCCCGACCCCCCTCCCCTCCCCCCCATCCAGACCCAAACCCGCAGGACCCGTTCCTTTTGCGCGTGCGCCAACTATCGTAAACGTTGGCTACCACCCAGTTTTGGCGCAGCCCGGCGCTGGGCTTTTGGCTTTTCCTGGGCCGCGGAAGAATTTGATGCACGAGTGCGAAGGAAGTGCAGAAATGAGCGCCTGTATTGTCCGGGAGAGCTTTCCGACGCAGACGCCCGCCCCTCCTTTCCTCACGTCTCCTCCGCATCGTCTCCATGCTGTTTTCCGCGTCCCGAGGTTGCGCGATGAGGAGGATGCCGAGCGGAACGCGCAGCACAGCCTCCTCAACAGCGACTCCCGATCGTTCGTCGCCCGGAGGAAACACTCCCGCCTCGGCAATTCCTTCGAGAAGGAGTACGAGAACAGCTTTAAGGATCCGCTGTGCTCCCCCTCAGCTTGCCAGTGGTACACAGCCACACCCTACAAAGGCAGGGGGAGAGGGGGGGCATGAGGAGCAGGTAAAGGCGAATGGGAGGATCAACGAGAGGCAACCGAGGAGGAGGAGGACCATTATGATGAGCAGTGATGAGGGGGAGGGAGAGAAGGAGGAGGAGGAGGAGGACGAGGAAGAGGAGAATAACATTTGGCCAGGAATGGTGAAAACAAAAAGGAATCGATGAGGATCCAGGAAGCCCAGATGGATGGTAAGGCCGAGGGCAATGAGGGAATGCATGCACGTAGCGAGGAGGGATCGGCATTGGGTCGTGGGAGATGGAATGAGGTACAGGAGGATGAGATGAGGAGGAGAGAAGGACGATGACGGTGATGGTTGCGGCTGCAGGATAGGAGATGGCAAGAGGAGGGGGAGGGGGATGATGGGGAGGAGGATATTGCCAAGGACGAGGCGACGCTCGAGCGCGAAAGACAAAAGGGCCTGATGGCGGAAGCTGCCAACGTTATGTCCATAATGACCCACAACATTGAGAAGGGCATCTGCCAGAACGCGAACGCGTTGGCGCTCAAGATGCCGAAAAACGTCCTGAAAGAGGCCTCGCGGGAGGGCAACCGCCAATAAGCATCAGCTTCAGTGTAATGGATAGCGGGCGGAGGTCACAACGATGATGCGACGGAAAGGAACCATTCATCAATCAAGTAATATGTATAGTATTATTGAAGGCTACATCATAGCACCAGCCGCAGTCGAGTTGCAGGTTCCGCGTTGTTTCTGACTTAGCGTCCTGGTGATCTCACAACGACCGCCACGAACATGGCTATGTTCATCATTACTGTCAGCAAACCGACTGGTACAATGACTGTCTTTCCCCCAAGCAGTGTCAGCGCTTAGGGGTTATTAGTTCTGTTCTCAGGAACTGGGCCGTGACTGCGGTCTGGCGGCTAGGTTGCCGCCGTCGCCGCCCCGTCGCCGCCTCGTCGCCGCCCGTTGTCTGGGCCGTGCCTTCGGTCTGGCGGCTGTGGCCGCCGCCGCCGCCGCCGCCCCGTCGCCGCCTCGTCGCCGCCCGTCGTCTGGGCCCGAGCAGGCGGAGATCCAATATACTTCTTTGCTTGCGTGGGCCTCATTTCCCTCTGCTTTGCTGCCTCCTCGCTCGCTCGCTTTCCTGCCTCTCTCCCTGCTGCTCTTTGCTCCTCCCCTTTCTCCCTGTCGCCTGCTTCCTTCTCCCTGCTTGTGCTGCTGCTGTCCACGCGTTCTCGCTGTCCTTGTTTACTCTCGCACTGTGAACTATGAGAATTGTACCAGCCCCGTGCTTCAGTACAGGCGGCCGCATTCTGGTGGCATGGGTTGGCACTGCTGTGTTTGACGAATCAGCTGGGCATAGTTGGTGTTCGCCGAAAAATACGCCCTCGTGAAAAAAGGCCAGGGCTGGATTCCAGCCGTGGCTCCAGACCCTGTCAGCTTCAGACGGCGTTCCCCAAATTGCAGTCCCGACCCTTTCCCTGACCAGCGTTCCATCCCGAGGCTTTCTCTTCCGGTGCGAGCGCCCCTGGGGGTCCGTTAAAGCGGCCAAGAGCTGCCCGTCGTGGTCTACGGTGGGGGCGTTCGTTAAAGGATTGTGCCCGGGGGGCTTCAGACCCTGGAGGGGTCCTTCTCTGATGAGGTCGGCGGTGGTATCCATGGCCAAGCTTCGATTGGAGTTCCACTGGCCTCCAGACCCCGGGTTCCTTATCAAAGGGTTCCTTATCTCATGCCCCCACCGTATTTTGTCACGGCGCGAGCATGCCTGGGCTCGCCGCTCGTGACAGAGGATGTGGCTGCACTGCAGCCGCGGCTGCAGAGGGCAGCGTTCACGGGGCCCTGGCCCTGCCCGCGCGGCCCTTGCCCTCCAGCCGCCCCTCCTGGCGCCGGCTGTTTTTGGAAGAATTTCCTTGAAACCTTCCTAAAACTTTCCTCATGGTGACTTTTTGGAAGAACCTTCCTAAAACTTTGCAAGAACCACGGGGCGCCGCCCACGGAACCCTGGGAGCCCCGGCCAGTGGGGTTGCCGGGCGGCGTTCGCCGGCGACGTTGCACGCGGCGGAGCGAAGATCGGAGGCGCCCATACACTGGAGGGGGACAATTATTACTGGACGCGCCCCCTCCCCAAAAAATTCAAAGGTGGCACGCGCGGGGGAGATTGCGGCCGAGGTGCAGCTCGTCAGACCCGCCGCCAGCTTTGAACAATGGGGGAGGGGGAGGCGTTGACAAATGAATGTGGCATGAGTGTTCGTTTTTTCCCGATGCTTGTAGGGGGGCTGATGATTGGAACTGGCGTGGATGTCGCGGCTGGGGCCATGATGCGGTCAGGAGTTTTGGCTTGGCGTGTCGCTCCGCCAGTTCTGGCCCACCACGCTTCGGCGCGATACGTTATCCACATCGCCATTCCCATGCGTCGACGTCCCGAGCCTTCCCCAGCCTCCCACCCCGCGGAGCGGAGCGACGCGCCATCCGATCACAAGGCATAGCCTGTGGCCAGGGCCGCGACCGCGACACGGTGAGAAAAGTTCTTGACTATTTCTCCCAGGGTTCATGGTTCCCTCTTCTTCAACATATCCCATGGCCCCAATTCCTCGGCACAACAGGCTTTTCAGTCGGGGTTGATTAGCAGATCGACCCTGCCGAATCAATGGTGCCCTTTGTGTCCTGTGTTTCGCGAACCATGCTCTCTACACCTCTGTGGCAATGTGTCCCTCAGAAGTGTCTCGTGTCCTCTCGCGCGCCTTCTCCAGTGAAACTCGACTCTAGGCCATGATGCGCCCGCTTTTGCACGCTGCCGAGAGGATGAGCCGCCGGCCCGTGTCTCCAGCGCGGCGGCGCTCCCAAGGGGTGGTTAAGAGGCAGAGGGGGCGGGCCTTCTCGGAGGGTTATCCGGAGGCCCCCCGGCCTTCTGGGAGACCTGGTGGGGCCTGCGCTGGAGCCCCGCCGCCTTCTGAGGAGCCCCGCCACCTCCTCCGTCTCCTCCTCCTTCCTTTCTCGAACAGGGGTGATCGACTACAGCGTTGATTCACCCCAGAATGGATTTTCTCGTCGAGTCAGACGTAGAATGTTCGTAGACCTACGAACAGCCTATACGCAGTTCTCATGGATGCGACGAACAAATCAAGTTTGGGGTAAATAGATGATGCAGTCGATCCCCTATGAGAATTTCCTCCTCCCGTTCCTCCTCCTCCCTTCTCCTCCTCCTCCGCCGCCTGCCCTGGACATCCAGGCGGCGGACAAGGAGGCGCAGCTCGGGGCCCAGTGCCACCCAAGGAGCTGGCTGCGCGAGGTGGCGAGGCACTGGCAGCAGGTCGAGACGGTCAAGCAGATGGCCTGATGGATCGGCCCAGTGAGCGTGATGGCCAACAGTCGGGTTGACCCACAAGGGGGTCCAGCGACAAGGGGGTGGTGCAATAGATTCGGTGCGCTAGATCTGTGGGGTTGCAAGACATGTGGGGCGTGCAGTACCTTCCGGGGCGCAGATGTATTGCTGGAGTTCCGCGTGCAATGCATTACTTGCCATACAATGCAATACAATTCTCCGGCGCAATGCATTTGCAATACACTTGTCCCAAATCTATTGCACCACCCTTTTTCAGCTGGAACCCCTCTTGGGTCACCCCGAAACAGAGAGCCGAGGGACAACATAGGGAAGCAGATGAAGGTCAAAGGTAACAGGCTCGAGGAACGCGAATGCCACCAAGCGGCCAAGAGACCAAGAGCTGCGGAGCTCAAGGCGACATCGGAGGCCGAGGTCAGGATGGGAAACCAGGAGTGCGTCGGGGACGGCGCCAGCGACGAGCCCAATTGCATGGGGAGGATGCCGTATGTCCACGCGAGGTACGGACCCACCGAGAACCACCAGGCGCACAGTTTTTCGAAGTCGAGTAGAAACGTGGGCGGGTAGGAGCACGGAGTACACCGACGAGGAGAATTGGATGTACCGGTGCGTGGCACACCTGCGCGAGGTATTGCCAGCGCAGCACGGGACCCTCAGAAGGCACTTAGCCGCGTCGAACCCGAATATGAATTTCGACGACTTCCCTGCGGAGCACTGCAAGAGGCAGTGGAACCAAACAGCACCGAGGAGGAGGCGTTTCTTCAGGCTGCCCTACCAAGCGGTGCATGAAGTGCGGCAGGCCTACATCGGGTTGCACAGGCAGCATCTTCGCGAGCTCAGGCAACAAATTTTAGAGCTACTTGGACATCGAGCGCCAGATGCGGGCCAACCACGCGGGCGAGGAGGATGTGAGCCCAGTGGCGGTGGGCGAACAGGGCCAAGCGGAACCGTTCTCATGGAGGCAGTGGCGGCTGTTGCGACGGCGGCCATCAGCGGCAGGCCATGTCTAGAACAAGCGCAGAGGCCAAATAAAACTAAGAGTGACGATGTGAGCGAGGCGGGCGAGGACGAAGGCGAAAAAACTAGCAGTCAGCTCGCAAAGAGGCCCGACGTTCGCAGGGTGGCACAAGGGGTCAGGCGGAACGTACAGGAGTGCCACATCGGAGATGCGAGTTCGAGCGCGCAGCCAAGCAAGAAGGCGAGAATGACCGAAGCGAAAGCGGCAGCTAGGAGAGCGGCAAGCAGCGAAGGTGACGGACACACGGTGCCTGACGGAAACGAAAGGGGACGGCGAGCGCAGGCCCGCACACAGAAAGAAATCACGTCACAGTTGTTCATGCCAGACGATGCCGGCCCCGAGAGGGAAGACGAGGCGGCGCTAAGGCACAGACCTCAGTGGCTGGGCAACGGTGTAAAGCTGAGCGACCGTTGCGACACATGTGGCGAGAGATCCAAATCCGCGGGCGAGCTGTCGGCTGGGCTGCGCAGAGGGTGCCCGCATGTGGTCCAAGCAACCCACCAGAGCCACAAGCTGATGGCGGCGATCACGGTGATCTTCTGCAACGCATGCGGGGCGAGGAGCTCTGGAGGTCTCACCGCGCTGCTGGCCAAAGCGTGTCAGGAAAAGCCGAACGACAAGAACGCGATGACGAGGCTCCACCACGGGAGGGAGGGGAGGCACCCTGTGATCGACCAGTTCGCGGGCGAGCCAATGCAGGCAGTGAGGGTGCGAGCGGGGCTGCAATCACGGTTGATGCGGTCCCGCTCCTCGGGCCACCACCAGCAGATGCGTGCGACGGCGTGGTCGTTCCCGAACCGCGGGCTACCAGAAACCGATGAGCAAGCTGGTGTGGCCCCGCTTTTCGGGTCACCAGCGGCTCGCACGGCCACGTACAGTGTGGTCCCGGTCTTCGGTTCACCAGGAACCGACTATTACGTTCGGTGTGGTCCCGCTTTTCGGGTGACCTGCTGAGAACACGTACGCACTGTTCAAGTATAATGTTTCGAAGGTTCTTTTTTGTTATATATATATATATATATATATATATATAAGCCAAGATCCTTTCATTGCTAATTGTTTTATCCTGGGCCTCTTCGTGGCCACTGGGGGGCCAGGAAAGGTTAGAAACGAGTACAAGCCGAAATGAGCACGATTAGAAATGAGCGACGTGTACGATGGTGTCCTCGGGCCACCAGAAGCAGACTTTACTACGACTGGTGTGGCCGCGCTCCTCGG